TTTGTTTTTAACTTAATGACAACTTTTAAAGATTTAAAGTAATATATGAAAATAATAAAATATCTATATCTCCTAATTATTTTACCCTTAATGCATCTATTTGGTACTATATTTCTAGTTTTAGCAATTATCTTTCCATTAATGCAATCAATACATGTATCAAAATAAGATACGTCTAGCTTATATAAGATATCATGTTTAATCAATTCTTAATTATTGGTCAGAAAAGGAGTCACAAACACCCATACCATAGCACAGAAAGTGTATTCATTAAACCTAACACACTTATGGCTAATAATAGAGTAAAAATGCATATCGTTCAAATTCAACATATATAACCCATCACATAGTAGTCATGAATAAATAACAAGGAATTAAAATGATTTATGAGTTTTCCATTTCTAAATTCAAAAGTGTAGCCACTTTTATCTAAAGTTAAAATTAAAATTAAGTTCCTTCTTATGGAAAGTACCTAAATAACATTATTTAACAATAAAACATGTTCAAAATGCAAATACAAAAATACTACTCACATGTCTTCCACCACTATTCTTAGTACCATCACCCATAATAATATTTGACTCAACATCAATTGGTTTCCCTAGGCTTGTGAACCCTTCTATAGATTCACAATGTAACTAGTAGCACCCAAGTTAAACCACCAAGTGTTTGAGAGGAACATCAATTATGTTAGATTCAAAACAAGCTAGAGCTAGGAGTTATATTCAAAACAAGCTAGAGCTAGGAGTATACAATATATCTTTTGTCTGATTCTTCTTCTTAAGGAAAAAAAAATCTTTCACTCAGTGACCAAATTTCTTCTAATAATTACAATTTTCCTTGAAATAGTTCTTTTTAGCTTCTAATTGTATCGGTGATTTACTTGATTTCTTATACTCATCAATAAATTTGTGTTTATAACCTTTTTTTAAGTCCTTAGTATCAGATGTGGAAGCAACAAACTTATTGTTGTGATAATTACCAACAAATTGAAAAACATAAGGTTTATCTTTCTTTATAGAATCTTTTGCTCGAGAAACAATAACAATTATGTCATCACTATACTACTCATGATTTTAAGTGTTATAAGATATTTTTGAAATGTTAAACTGAGAATAAAGTGAATAAGAATTTTTCAAACTAGGTGGTTGTCAACAATATAAAGGTTTATATACTTCAACTTATTACAATAATGCACCATTTTCAACATATGTTTATGAACACTACTAACACTATCATATTTAGCGTTATCAAATAATGAAAAATAGTGACTTTTCTAAGTTTTATCAAAAGTCTTAAACTTGTCATCAACAAAAATAAAAAAAAAGTTCTAACATTGTGTTCTCCAAGAAGCTTTCTCTAATGGTCTTTTCCATGGTGTAATTTATTATCATAAGACATATTCTCTTTAACTCGACTAGTGTTTTGATCAATCGACTTGGCAATAGTAATTAGTGGCTTGTCTTTCCTCGATGCCAAGTTCATATTGGCAATAGCCAAATACAAATCAAGGAATTTATTCCAATCTTCATAATTAGTCCTATTTAACACTTTCACGCAATAGGGCATTACAAATAACATAAAAAAAATCAAGGAATAACTTAATATGCATAAGTCATTACACAATTAGAGAATTAAATGATCCTTTTTGCAAAACTAAATATGCCCATCATATAAATTTCTTACTTGTTACAATACTGCCTAAGGGTTCCAAATTACAATAAATAAGAAATGTAATTGCAATAATGATAAAAACAACAACAACAACAACAATAATAATAATACAATATGCATAACCATATCATTAGAAATCTAATACCAATAAGATACTCAAATATAATTGACATAAGTTAATAACAGCAATACATTGTATATAACATAAATCACATCAATAATAAAACATTGATAGGATATTACTTATTGTTAATGTAATATAAAAGAAAAATTAAGTAATGCATCAATTCATACATATTTCACATAATTATGTCTGCAATAGATAAATAACAAATAATTTATATAGTTATATTAATAATTGGGAACCTATAATTTCTTACATGTCAATGACATATATATAATACAAAATTTAGGCTCAAATTTTAAGTGTACCAATAACTAAACAAGCAATTTAGTATAAAATGAAAGGCTTTGAAAATCTAGTAATGCAAGTGACAATGTATAAGAATAAAATAATTCAAATTAAAAAAAAAAAACAGGCTGCCAATAACATAAACTTTGAAATTTTTCCGACTAGAGAAACTATATGAAACGTGATATGTTTCATCTTGTTTGTAATTGAAAAATGAGTAAAAGGCCTCAAACAATTTATGAATTGATACACAAGAGAAATTATAATTTAATCGAATTATACTAAAGAATGCATTCATGAGTGACCCATTTTAAACTCACAAAATACTTAACCAAATAAAGTGATATTTAAGTATGTTGCTCATCTAACATTATCTAAGAAAAGTCCCAAAACAAATTTAAAAAATCTTAACTTAGTTGTGAAAATTTTTGATTGAAAGGTAGTGACGTTTATAATGGGTTTTTTCATAATCATGAATATAAAACTTTCAATTCTCGGCAAAATACATGATGAAATTCAATGAAATTTTGATATATTGTTAAAAATATGATGTCTAACAAAAGCCTTAATTGGTTTTAAAAATCATTCATTTATTAACATCAATTTTCATAATGGGTCTACGATTTTACATATCATAAAATGTGTCTTTTAAGACTCTTTGATACCAATTGTTGGAATATATAATGATTTGAAATAATAATAATTTCATAATTCAAATATACAAGTCATAATATATCCCTTTTTAATCTAGATGGAGAGAATATATAATTGTTCTTGTTTACTACTTAGAGAAGAGAAAACATATTTGTTTAATAGGGAGACAATTTTTTAACTCACTAGATGAGGCTATAGACCTCTCTCAAGTATTATAAGGTTATATAGTTTAGCCCATCACAAACTAATTTTATTAATGTCCAATGATAATAATATATTTATTAATTAATCTTATATAAAAACAATATTATAATTGATATTAATAATTTAAATAATATATTCTAAATAATTGATTAATGCTAATCTATAATTAGATAGGATATTAACATTGATAAAAAATATATATTAATAGAACATGAAAGGTATGAAGTCTCTAAGACCATTTATCTATATAAGATGGCAAAAGAAGCCTGATTGGTTCTCATGTACTTAAAATAATTGGACACAGATAATCCATAAAGACTTGAATTTTTTTTAGTTAAGAGTTGACCATACATCTATAGTCAATTTGTTATGAACTATACATGAATAAAATTAACAAACCACTACATGAGTTGTCGAGCATGTTGAAAATTGTTGAGCAAAACATAATAAAAGAAAATATAAGTTCATTTTAATGGTTCAATCTATAAAGGGAAAACAGAAGGTCGTAAAATAACATGGGCCAAGAATAAGTTCAAAGGGAAGGGCAAGACAAACCCAACACTTATAGTTTGAAAATTATGAGCGATGTGGCCAAGGAAAGAACATGTTTCTACTATGGTTGAACAAAACATTATAAAAGAAAATGTGCAAAGTACATATACGAGATCAACAATAAAAAGGAAAGTGAGACTTTCACTTCATATATTTATGTTATAAAAGTCAATTTCTCCACTGTTACATCTTGGGTATCTGAATATAGGTCTCACATTTGTGTTGATGTGTAAGATTTAAAAAGGAGTAAACCATTGGCTAAGGACAAATTAGATTTACGTATGGAAAATGGAGCAAGAATTGCTCGTTTAGCTATAAGGTCTTATTTTATGTTATGGGCTAGTTATTGAACTGGATAATTATAATTATGTGCTTGCTATTAATAAGAATATTATTTTTGCTTTTTTTCTGGATAAGAAAAGTTTTTTATTTACAATAAAAGACAAAACTTGTTTCGTTTATTTAAATGATATCTTTTATAGATGTAAATAATTGGGTAACGAGCTATGTCCTTAATTTTGAAACATATGTCTATAGTAACAATTAATAAAAAAAGTGATAATTTGATTAAATGTCATGAAAAATGATTACTTATGATTATATTAGTAACAATTAATGGCATAACCAAAAAACATTCTTTGCTCCTAATCTTGGTTTCAATTTACAAAGTGATAAACATGTAATATTATTAAACATCTCTAGGTTTTATAGTACAATTATTTTTATTCGAGAGGTATCTCTACTAGTAGAATCTTATATCACACTAATTTATAAAATTATTGAAATAAATTTTAAAATTTGAAATTATTTTAAAATGATTTAATAAATACATTTTTCAATTTTAAAAACTTTTCATTAAATAAATTAAACAAGTATAGACATACCTCACTTTATCAAAATACAAGATTTTTCTTATAAATGTAAGGACAATCAATTGAATAGTTCTAAAATACTTAAAGACTACATCAAAATGATTTCAAACAATTACCATACATTTCAATTATTATTAATATGAATATTCATATATGATAAACATTTTTTTAAAATAATTATTCAACTGAGTTTATATTAATAAGAATCTAAAAATATTTTTTGAAAAAAAATAATATTCTTTTTTACTATTCTTAAAAGTTTAGTTTGAACTTTTAAAATACTAGTAGGCAAGTAACAACCAACGATTAAAAATATTTAAAGTTAATATGTAATATTAAGTTTAAGTCTCGTTAAATATAACTGTTAAATTTTAAAGGAAAAATTACCCATAAATTAACTAATCTTATTTGAAATTTTTATTATATACAAGTTTATGTATGATAGAAAAATATAAAATTTTAAGTTTTTAATATATATTAAAGAGTAGATAATTTTAATAAAAAAATAATACAATATTTTTTATTATGCATACATGTTGAAAAAAATTATTAATAACCTGACACAGAGACTTACACGTAGACATACACATATATACTCTGACGAAAACAAACAAAAATTGGTAAAAATCATTCACAACTTCACATCCCCCTCTTCTCTCTTTCTCTCTTCTCTGTGTGTCCATCGTTGAAGCCAAAACGAAACAAGAAAGAAAGAAGCATGGTTTCAACGAGACGCAACAGTGGATCTTTCTCGAACAACAACAACAAGAGACCTTCATCTTCTGAAGACAAGACTCCTTCTCCTTCCCCAAAGCGCCAAAAGGTTCTTCCTTTTCCCAATCCTTATCAATTCCTCGATTCTCCTTTCTGATTCCTTCCGATTCTTCTCAGGTCGACAATGGCGTCACCGCCTCCGACAAACCCTCGCCGCCGCCGGGAAATTCCAAGGATTTGAGCCCGCCGGAGCCCCCTGCTGATCCCGGAGAATGCGGCCCCCCACCCGCTCAGATCGCCGGAACCGCCGCTCCCGATGCTAAGAACGACGCCACGCCGCCGATCGCTGATGGTTCGTCTTTGCCGCTCACTTTTCCGTTTTTCTTTTATTCTTATTATTTATTTATTTTTATATTATTTTATTGTGCGAAGGTTCTGCACCGACTCTGGTGGCTGATAAGCCTAGGGGTTCGTTCTCTTCTTGGAGTTTATATCAGAAGCAAAACCCAAATTTCGAAGCTTCAGTTCCTTGGTGCAGGCTTTTGTCTCAGTCTGCGCTGGTAAATTTTGTTTTCTATTTCTAAGTGAAGCTAATAGGAGTTCACTCCAAATTTTGTTTACTTGAAAATTCATTTCTATTATTGCTGCAGAATCCAAATGTTCCCATTTGCACACCCAACTTTACTATTGGCTCTAGTAGAAGTTGCAACTTTCCACTGAAGGATCAGACTATAAGTGGAAATTTATGCAAAATCAAGCTTACTCAGGTATTTGATTTCAGGAGGACTAATATCTGGTTTTGCAATGGAGTTTTGGGAGTTTGAGGTTTTGTTTGTGGTGTGTTTAGGCTTTTCCAAGCACACACTTTGGCACTTGGTATTGGATTGTTTTACCTGGATTTTGGTTAGAGATGTGTCTAGGCACTATGAATGCTTGTATGCAAATGTGTGCTTGGTTGTCTTTTTTTTTCAGTTGTTTGAGGTGAATATCGTAGGATATGTATGTGCAGTATGATTACTGTTGTTTCTGGAAATGATCAGCGTGAGGGGAGTGCTGTGGCTGTGCTTGAAAGTACGGGTAGCAAAGGATCTGTGCTAGTGAACGGGACGCTTGTCAAGAAGAGTACCAGCTGCGTGCTTAACTCGGGTGACGAAGTGGTTTTTGGTTTGCTGGGAAATCATTCTTATGTATCCTTTTGCTCTTTGCATTAAACATGTCATTTTCCTGTTCTTTTTTTAAAGGAGAATTATCCAAGATCTCTATTACTTGCTCAGTTCCTTCTATTAATTTAGTTTGTCTTTTTATGTGTCTGCATGGGTTTCCTTGATTAATTTGTATGTAGATTTTTCAGCAAGTAAATGCTGAGGTTGCTCCTGTCAAGGGTGCAGAAGTTCAGAGCGGTGTTGGCAAGTTTTTGCACATTGAGAGGAGAGCAGGAGATCCTTCAGCTGTGGCTGGAGCTTCTATTTTGGCGTCTCTTTCTAGCCTCAGACAGGATCTAACAAGATGGAAGTCTCCATCACCAACCGCTGGTAAACCTCACCAGGGTGTTGATGTTCCTAGTCAATCTGTTCTGCATGATAGCACAGAAACTGAGCTTGATGGCCTGGAAGGCAACTCAGCTCCAAGTATAGGGACTGAAAAAGCTGCTGATGTTGGAGCAAGCGACAAGAATTCTCCCATGGATTGCGACCCAGATGATGCAGGCACAGAGGCAGGCAATGTAAAACTCTCTGGGGTGAATGATTTCCTAGGGCCTTTCTTCAGGATTCTAGCTGGATCTACTTTTAAAGTGAAATTGAGCAAAGGTATCTGTAAACAGGTATTGGAAGAAAGAAATGGGACGAGGGATGGGCAAGCTGCATCAACTTCGGGTACTTCTGTACGCTGTACAGTTTTTAAAGACGATGTCAATGCTGCAATACTGGATGGAAAAGAAATAGAAGTGTCCTTTGACAACTTCCCGTACTACTTAAGGTATAGCTAGTAGATGCCTCAATCAATTCCACGGAGTTTTTGGCTTTGTTTTGATATTGTACATATTTGGTGAATTTCAAACTATTGTTCCTTGACAACTATGTTTCATGTTTTTTTTTTTTTAACTATTCTTTTATATTTAAGAAAATGATTTCCATTTGGTATTTCATGTACATTTGTGTGTGTTATATCTCAAATAGTTTACTGGAAAAATTGAATTGAACATGCAATTGCATTCTTTTAAAATATTGGTAGAGTGCCAACAAAGGCTGATCTGGTTGGTAAGGACTGGATTCGTATCCCACAAGGATGCCGGTTCAAATCCCAGTACCAATGTGAGGGCCTTGTTGTTGGGGGCAATGTAAGTACCTCTATAAGCACTCTTTGAGCTTTGAGGCATGCCCTGGTCCTGGTGAGCTCCTGGGACCTGCCTCGTTAAAATGTTTTATCATAAAATTATTGGTAGAGTATCAAAGTTAAATTAAATCACTTTTATGCAACAATTACAATTTTGTATTATATCTAACTGTAAAATTTGATTTCCTGTATATATGGACATTAGAACTACATTGCTAACAAAGTTTTCGTCTGATTAATTTGAATCAATGATTCTAAAAATTTCTAAAAACAATTGGAAATGATATCAAGCATTAAACAGTAATTATGTTATATGATTTACATTTCTATAGTAAGTGAATTTCATCCATGGTAGCATCTTTATTTTAATTTATCATTTTATCAAAACATTGGTGTATAAATCAATTTAAATCTTAAAACTTTGATACAACAACAATAACAATGGTGATGACTACCACAGCGACAATTAAAGTCTTTTCCCTCTATGTGAAAGTTACATGAATCAAAAGACATGATTGGGTTCTGTTAAAAGTTAGATACAAATAGTAATTTTTAAATTCAATTCTATCCTAACCCTATGTTTTACCCCCTCTAAATCTGTGTTTCTCATTTGAGGTCAATAATCAAGTGCTACCATAAAAAAATCCAACCATTATTTGTGAAAGCAAAACCTACTTTGCCCCTCTCTCATCAATGAAAAACTTAGCACCCTTTTTATCCACCCAATACAGATAAAATAGAAGATTCATCATACGTCATTTTAGAATACGGGCAGTATGTACATTGTGGATGCCAGTCAGAATAAACTGCCAAAGGAAGACGGAAAGTTGTTTGTTACCTTATGTAGTGACCTGAAATTTGAAGCAGGGACAACAATTAAATGTTGATTGTGGATGAAATAGTACATATACAAAAAGAAAGATCTAGCTGGAACAAGTTTAGGTGAATTGAAATGAGACTGCCGCGTGGCTTATAGAGGCAGTTGCTTCGTTTATATATAATTTATTCTCATTCTATTCTATATTTGTTGCAATGCCATGGAAAAATAAATCCTACAGATGCATTAACTCTGGTTACCTTTTTCTCTATTTTTATAATACTTGAACCGGTCCTATGCATTTGGGTTTTAAATATATTGGGTGTTGCTTAAGAGGAAGGTTTTAAATTGCAGTCATGGTTGCATTGTGGTTAATGTGGTCCACAATCTCCGTTTGATGCGGTTACCACATCAGATATTGTGGCTGCATCACGTGATGTTGTCCACAATTTAAAACCTTGATTTTGAAGTATGTATTAAAGTTTCTTAGTTTTTTAATTAGTTTAAACAAATTATGACTAATTTTTATTTCTATGACTTGATTTAGTTCTTCATGCATTTTGCTTGACTGCCATTCTTATAGCTTCTTGCTTTGATCATTAGTTGCATTTTTTAATCATTTTTTATATCTTTTTGCAGTGAAAATACAAAAAATGTCTTGATTGCAGCTTGCTTTATACACCTGAAACATAAAGAACATGTGAAGTACACCACAGATCTTACAACCATAAACCCTCGTATTCTACTCTCAGGACCTGCAGGTGTGTGGGTTTTGCACTAGTGCTCTCCTTTATCTTTATGATTTTGTTTTGGTTGACTATCTTCTTTTCAACTCGTTTTTCCCCCCAATTTCGATAATTTTTTGCAGGGTCAGACATATATCAGGAGATGTTGGTGAAAGCACTCGCAAAATACTTTGGAGCTAAATTGCTAATATTTGATAACCATTCTCTTTTGGGTGTAAGATAAAGTTTTTTAGTTGGTCTGATATTTGGATTAGCCTGTGCTTGGATGAGATTATTTTTATTGATTATGTGAAAAAAGCTAAAAAAAATACTCATCAGTTTTGTTTGGTAAATTTTGAAAAATTAGCTTATAATCTTTGATTAAATTTTTTACAAAGGAAATAGGTTATTTAAGTTAAGCAAAATTTTAGAACTTATGATAGCTTATTTTCTAGTTAATTTTTATTTTTCCATTTTATCATAAATAATTGATTATTTTAAATACAAAACTAACTATTACACATACCTTCATATCGTTTTTTTGTAATTTCAAATGCAAAAAGTGATTAATTTAGAGAATGCAAAACACACTTAATCCATGCTTACCATTTTTGTTAATGTGTCATTGAAGTATTCTCACTAACAACTCTGATAATGAATCTTAATTTGTTGTGCTTTTTAATTGATAGGGTTTATCTTCCAAGGAAGCTGAGCTGCTCAAAGATGGATTTAATGCCGAGAAATCCTACAGCTGCCCCAAACAAAGTCCTGCAGCCACAGACACGGCTAGGAGCATGGATCCATCAGCTAGTGAATCAGATACACCAAGCTCTTCTAATCCACCTACTTCATTTGGCTTTGAGTTTCATCCTAAATTGGAAACTGACAATGTACCGTCTACCTCTGGGACAGCAAAAAATTGTGTGTTCAAACTAGGTATGTGTACTTCTTCCACCTTTAAGGAGCCTTGACTTTAACACAAAGCATTGATGTTTTCCACATATGATTCTGCAGGTGACCGGATAAAATTTAGCTGGTCATCTTCTGGTGGCATGTATCAGACGTCTTCTTCAAGGTGCAAGATTGTATTGAATTGTTCTGAATTGGTTTCTGTTTCTCATTGATACATGTTGTGGCGTCTTTCTGCATTTTTCAGATTAACTAGAGAACATGAATTGTCTATCATGGTTACTTATTCAGACTTTACTTTTTATACTTGAGATATTGTAGTGTACTAGTGTAGTGGATGGAATTCTTTTTTCACCAAATTTCAGCAGTTGTAGCACAATATTTGCCCATGCCCTAACTCATGATTACACCCTTCAATTCAGTTTAAAGAGCCAGTTATACAATATATGTTTTTATTTCTTGGTGACTACAATGTATGATTGACAATGAACAAATGGATCTTCAACCTTAGTCATTGTCAATGCTAAAGCTACAACTTTTGTGTATCTGCACAAATGTATACTCATTCCCTCTCCACTCAAGATTGCAACTATTAGTTTGGGGGAGAAATGTGGCAGGAAAGAATGAAGGGGGTCATATAAATGAAGGACAAGCAAATTGAGACAAACTTTCATATTCACCTGTAACTTCTGCTTACATGACTGGATTGTGCGAATACTATAGTAGCTTTATTATTCTCTTTTCATTTGAGTCTTCCTATGTATATGTCCGTATACAGTTCTGTTTAGTTCCTCCATACCCCTTGTTTCTAAACAATGTAATGTAAATTTCACCTTTAGTTTCTGTTTCTCTTAGAACCATTGCCTCCATTTTCAGTTTCACCCAGACCAAAAATATCCGATTGCATTTTTTTTTGGTTATAATTTTGATTAGCAATTGCATATACAGGGGTCCAGCTAATGGAAGTCGGGGGAAGGTTGTCTTACTTTTTGATGATAATCCCTTGTCAAAAATTGGTGTAAGATTTGATAAACCCATACCTGATGGAGTTGATCTTGGAGGTGCCTGTGAGGTTGGTCAAGGATTTTTTTGCAATGGTAATGCCCTACTTGTCTGATAAACTATATCTTTAGATCTTTTATATACTTAATCTATGAACTTTATCTTGGTCCTAGATATTGAGTTGTCTTTTTATTCTCTTTCCAGTGTCTGATCTTCGATTAGAGAATAGTGGCATTGAAGAATTCGACAAATTACTTATTAATACATTGTTTGAGGTCACCTTTTACCCCACTCTCCGATCTAGTAAAATTTTCCTCTAATCATATTATTATATTGTGCTATAATCTTTCAATAAGAAGTTACACATCTTTTTATTTCAGGTTGTGTTTAGTGAGAGCAGAAATGCACCTTTCATTTTGTTCATGAAAGATGCAGAAAAGTCTATAGTGGGAAATGGAGATCCATATTCATTTAAAAGTAAGCTTGAAAATCTTCCAGATAATGTGGTGGTGATAGGTTCGCATACTCACACCGACAATCGGAAGGAGAAGGTAATAATTGTGCTTTTAGTAATAACTGTTTTGTAATGCTAGATTGGCATACAAGTTAAGGCATTTGAATGTGTTAAATGTACCGTATTACAGAAAAAGATTTTAACAGCCCATGGCAAGATAATCTGGCCAGAGTTTTCTGTGCATACCACTTGGTTTAGGTACATGAATTGATCAGTCCAATGATCTGTAGTTTTTAGTAGGTGTTGGCTTTATATATGTCTTGTTTTAATTTATTAATTGAGGATACTGAGAAAGAGGCTGTGCATTTCAGTTGAAGATATATGATCCTTTAATTTTCCGTTAATGCCTGGTCTAAATGAATAAGTGATTATGTTATCGATATTTAACTATTTTTCCTTGCAGTCACATCCCGGGGGTTTGCTTTTTACAAAGTTTGGCAGCAATCAGACTGCCCTTCTTGACCTGGCTTTTCCAGTAAGAACATCATCTCCTTTTGAGTAGCCTTATATTGAAAAGAACATAACAGGAATTACCTGTATAGGCTCGTGTTTTGTGAGTCTTCTTTAAGGCTTTTTCTGCTACTGTAACATTCTCTCTTTCTCTCTCTCCTCAGGATAGTTTTGGAAGATTGCATGACAGGGGAAAGGAGGTCCCAAAGCCGAACAAAACGTTAACAAAGCTTTTCCCAAATAAAGTAACAATTCACATGCCACAGGTTTGCACAATGAATTGCATGTCATCAGTTTTAATTTGTCCTTATATAACATTGTCAAATCAATTATCCAAAAATTTAAATTATTGGGCTAAGGTACATGAATTATGTCACATGCTCCCTATCTAAAGATTCTTTGGGCTCTGAAGCATGGATAATGCACAAATCCATAGAACAATGGGGGTGGCAAGGATTGAACTCATGGCCATTTATGCTATATTATAAATTTAAAATTCAAGCTGTTGGGTGAAGGTGCATGAATTGTTCTATATCTAACAATTGATTCATTGTATGTTTCTTGATATAGGATGAGGCACTTCTAGCATCTTGGAAGCAACAACTTGATCGAGATGTTGAAACTCTCAAGATCAAAGGAAATTTGCACCATTTACGCACAGTAAGTATTTTGTGTGAGCATCTTTATCACAAGCATTGTTAATGTTTGTTTGCTTCATAGCTTTTCCCAATTCAATTGATGTTTCTGGATTCTTAAGGAGGAGCAAATCTAAAGTGTCTTCGAACTTCGATATTTTTTCCCTTCTTGGTAGTAGTAGAAGGAAAAACAATACCATCACTGAATTCGACTGTAGGTCATTTTTCAGCTCTAATGATATGCATTTTTTAGACTTGCTTTTCTTCATCTTCATCTTCCTTCAACTCAGCAACAGCATATGCTTCATTTTTCAGCCTTTATTTGCTTGAACACTTCAATGAGTTGCTTCTTAATCTCCAATGAGATATTCTTCCAAGCATTTTTTGCTCTAGTAATATCTCTCCTTATTCCTATTTGGTGCACAAAAGTCACAAGTCACACACTTTTTATCTTTAATATCTTTTAGTCTATTCCATTGCCATGCAATATCAAGATTTTAACCAATGAGCTTCATTGAGGCACAAGCAAAGGTCGACTAAGCACCACCCTTTTGAGGTTGTTGGGATAATACCATGGTTAGCTGGAAACGCCAAAAAATGATGGAAAAGTGAAGACAAAGCCTAGAAAGAAGATGACATAGATGAGAAGATGCAAAGAGAGTGAGACAGAGTTGTTGGAGAAGAAAAACAGAATAGATGTAGGGAAAGGGGAAAAATAACTAGAAACCAGTGCCCCCTACTCACAGCCACCGGAAAACAGCTGAACATGATGTGGTCTTGAGCAAAAATGGTTAGGAAGAAACAGAAACAGTCTTTGGAGGAGAGAGAAGAAAAACATAGCAAAATGGGCAACCACTTTGGGCGCTGCAACAGCCACTCTGTAGAGGCAGGCCACTAATTTGTTTTATGATGACACGATAGTGCTGCTGTTGCATACTATGTTTTGAAGTGTCTTGGGAAAATTTTATTTCATGTTGCTGTTAAATAGAATTTGCGGTACATCTATTAAGTTGATGATAATGCAATTGAGCAAGTTGTAGAAAGGGGAAACCCTCGGAGATTAATTCTCTCCTTTTCTGTCACTCAATATTCAATAATAGAAGCATTCTATTCTCATATTCTGTTTCTGGGTTCCCAACGACTGTCATATTGTGATGTGGAGTTGTAGGCTATGATAATCTGAGAAACAGGATACACCTCAAATAACTAGAAGCTAGACAAACTGCCGTTTCATATGCAATTTTAATCTGAGTTGTTAATTGCCTTATGTCAACTACCATTATGTTTTCTTCTTATGTCTCCTTAATTCATCTTGTTCTAACTTCCATACACTTAATATTATTTGACCATGTTGAACCGTGTAGTTACATATTATCTATAAATTATATTTGCTGTAATGGTGTTCTTAAATTTATAATTCATCAAATTTTATTTATAGGTTTTAAGCCGTTGTGGAATTGGATGTGAAGGACTTGAGACCTTGTGCATAAAGGATCAGACACTTACAATTGAAAGTAAGTTCTACCACTAAATACTTCAGGATTTTTGAAGCTTAAATCTCTCTTCTATATCATTTTTGCTATATTGCAGATGCAGAGAAGATAGTTGGTTGGGCTTTAAGCCACCATCTCATGCAGAATTCTGAAACTGATCCTGATACAAAGCTTGGATTGTCTTGTGAGAGGTACTAATTATTAGCTTGACTACTTGTTTAAAATAATACACACATTCCTATTTTAAACTTCAAGGTTATGTTATTAATCACTCGTTATTCTTTCTATAAAATATTTACTACCAGCATCCAATATGGAATTGGGATCTTACATGCCATCCAGAATGAGTCAAAGAGCTTAAAGAAGTCTCTTAAGGTGATTGCTATGAACTTTTTGCTACTTCGATTTAGATGGGATGATTCGGTAGTTTGTTCCCACCTTACTGCATGGAAGTTATTCTGTTGATAGAGTTTGACCAACTTATTTAACAAATGCTTATCCTCAATCATCCCTTTCTGAAATCAGGATGTTATAACAGAAAATGAATTTGAAAAGAGGCTCTTGGCTGATGTTATTCCGCCTAATGACATTGGTGTTACTTTTGATGATATTGGAGCTCTTGAAAATGTCAAGGATACATTGAAGGAATTGGTGATGCTTCCTTTACAAAGACCTGAGCTATTTTGCAAAGGGCAATTAACCAAGGTTTTAACTTTACTGCTGGAGTTATATCCTGTTATTTTTTGCTTCCTTCCCTCTTTTCTCTAGTTTTCTGATATGCTGATTTACTGATAAAAGATAAATGAATAAGCTTACCTAACTCATGATATACTGTGTATAACCTTTATATGTGATATAGGCCACTCTCCAAAAAATGTAAATTATGTAATTTAAATTTTTTTGTGAAACCGTGAAAGGTAAGAGCATCAGTGATATGCAGTTGGTTTTTAGAAGCTGGTTTTAGGAGAATTTCCTCGGATGTTTCTTGAATATTTAAATATTAAAATAATGTAAAAATGCATCCCACCATTTGTCAAATTACTCATTTTGACTTTGTGATTGTGAATCACCTTCTCTGCAGCCCTGCAAGGGTATCCTATTATTTGGTCCCCCTGGAACTGGTAAAACAATGCTTGCAAAAGCAATTGCTACTGAAGCAGGTGCAAATTTCATCAACATTTCTATGTCAAGCATCACATCTAAGGTTAGATTTTCTTCACTGGATTTATTTTAGTATCTGCTATAAGTTGTTCATTTTAACTTGGTTTTTTCTTGATTTCACTTTAGTGGTTTGGCGAGGGTGAAAAATATGTGAAAGCTGTTTTTTCCCTGGCGAGTAAAATTGCTCCTAGCGTGATATTTGTTGATGAAGTAAGCCTTTGCAATAAATGTTATTAGTTTGTATTCATTCATTAGCTGAAAAATAAATCACAGTGAAAACTTGTATGGCTTCTTGTATAGGTTGATAGCATGTTGGGCCGGAGGGAAAATCCTGGGGAGCACGAAGCCATGCGGAAGATGAAAAATGAATTCATGGTGAACTGGGATGGCTTACGTACAAAGGATACTGAGAGAGTTCTTGTGCTTGCAGCCACTAATAGGCCTTTTGATCTTGATGAGGCTGTCATTCGGAGGCTGCCTCGGAGGTAGACACCATGTTCAACTGCACTTTAATTCATTCTTTTGACCCTGACATTTTTTAAGCTTTCATAATGTTTGGTCTTCTGCAGATTAATGGTAAATTTGCCAGATGCTTCAAATAGGGCAAAGATATTAAAAGTTATACTGGCAAAAGAGGACTTGTCTTCTGATGTTGATCTGGACGCAGTTGCAAACATGACTGATGGATATTCTGGAAGTGATCTTAAGGTAACGTGTTCCTTTCTTTTACCCTATATTTCTTAAAAGTTCTGGATGCCTTCATGCTTACTCTTTTATTGCAGAATTTGTGTGTAACTGCTGCACACCGTCCAATTAAAGAGATATTAGAAAAGGAGAAAAAGGTATGGCTTTTGGAATTATGTCTTAAGCAGTATGCTACAGTTAGAATCGCTTGTGCTTGCATGAATATTCATACTTATAATTTTTTGATGCATGACAGGAACATGCTACTGCTCTAGCAGATGGTAGACCTGCTCCAGCATTATGTGGAAGTGCAGATATCCGATCCTTAAACATGGAAGACTTCAAATATGCTCACCAACAGGTATATGAAAACAAAATCTTTCATGCTAGCCGCCCTCTCCTGCCCTTCAGACCTCCAAAAAAGAAAAAAAAAACAACACTAACTTTGTCATATTGAAACAGGTATGTGCAAGTGTTTCCTCTGAATCTGTAAATATGACGGAGCTCCAACAGTGGAATGAACTATATGGTGAAGGTGGTTCAAGAGTGAAAAAAGCACTCAGCTATTTCATGTGAGAAAACGCTTTTATACCAATGTTTCCCCAGTTGCTGCCTCCGTGTCCTTGCAGCCTGCAAGGCTTGCTGCCGAGCTATTTCGTTTGTAAAAGAAATATAGGTTTTTTAAGTATTTTTTCTCTCTAACCTGTGGGATGGTGGGTTTTGAAAGGAGTGGAGCCTTACAGAATTTTGGCCAGGCTCTGCTGCATCTATTTTGTTCCTCATCCCCTGGCCGCCACCACAGAAGATGTGTGTTGCTAGTGTCGCACTAGAAAAAGGAGTCATATGATCCTGTGAAAGCATTTATTGTCCCTCCTAATGGAATTTGCTAAAACAATAAGCATTTAGATCATGACTATTTTCTGTTTTATGTACATATGATGCATGATAGAGCTCCCTTTAGTTGATTCCCATAAGAATGAAAATCAATGAAAATTTGTTGAACTTATGCTATGCTACAATTCTTTCATTCACAACAAATCTTTATTAAATACTTTTTATTCAACATTTTATATTCACATATATGTGAATCGTATGAGCTTGGATTTTTGCAGCATTAAGCAGGCAATGGATCGGATGTTGGAAAGAAATGAGAAGAATATTGTAATCAAGTGAATTGTCCGATCCTTTGCATATTGTAATCAAATGTATTGGATAGGGATGTAAATTGGGTAAGTCGTTTGACGGGTTTACGGCTTAATTAAATAAGTTAGAGTTAAGTTTAAGAAAAAGTCTATTAGGTGTATTAGAATGATTTATTTAAAATTTATAATAATATATTAAATTAATTAAATTTTAAAATAATAAAATTTTAATTTAAAAATTATAATTTTTTTTTTGTTAGAGTTGAAATATTTTTACTACATATTTTATAAGAGAGAGAGCTTATAGTTTTTTACATATTTTATAAGCACAACACTTATTTATTATTAATTTTAATTATGTCTATCACTAGTTCATTTTATTTCATTCATATCTTTTATAATTTTATGCACTTATTTATGTTATATTATTTTTTTAATAGTTTATTTAAATATAAATTTTATGACTTTTAAAAAATATATTTATTTACATAGTTTAATAATTTATTTATAAGAAAGTTTAATGACCTATTGAATGTTTCGATACGAAATAAGTTATTAAAAAGATTAACATATTAAATTAGACTATTAAAAAGAATAAATTAGATTTAATAAAAAATCTATTACCATGTTTTTGTTTCAAAATTATTAGATAGGTCAAACCTATTTATGTAAAGTTTAACTTAGCTTATTTTCATTCTAGGGATGGAAAAAATAATTATATTAATGTTGAATAAATTTTAAAGAAGTCAAGTTGATAAATTATCTTTTTTTAAAATTATTGGTTTATCTAGATTTAGAATGAAAAGAATATTGTCTACATTCCATTTAACCATAAATAATCTTTTATTAAAAATACAATATACGTTTGTTTAACTGAGGAGAGCAGAAATTTGTTATTAATGTTCATCCGCTCAACATGCTTTGAACAAGACATGCATTCAATAAAGAGATGGGGGAAGTGATTTTGAAGTAACAAATCAGATTTTTAAATGCGAAGTGGCCGCACAAAGGGATGCTTTCTTCCCGGGGATGGTTACTCCATTTATTGGGCCTGAGATAATAATGTTTGGTATATTATTTGATTGAGCTTTGTAGATGCCAAACACAACAGACGACCAACCAGCACAAATTGGGTGTTTCATAAAACTAGTGAATAAGCTAATTAAAAGTTAAAAGATAAAAATTTGAGTTATCTAATTAAATTGAAAGTCTGTTGAAATTAGTTGATGAAGTAACTTATAAATGTAAAATGATTAATAATGACGCAATTAGTTATTGGATTAAAACTTGAAATTTGATAAATATGTTTTTAAATAAAATTTTTTTTTTTTTTGCTATTCAATATTATTTTAAATTTCTTATCATCTTAAAACTAAGATAACATTTTTTTTTGTTTTACTCTCATTTGTAGATGTTTTTATTAAAATGAGATAATACAAATGAATTTAAATTTTTATTTTGACAATAATAAAAGATATCAGAGATAGAAAAATATGCTAAAAACTGAAAATTTGAAATGTTATTTGAAGTGTTTCAAAAAATATTACAATTTACTAAAAATAACTATAATAAATAAAATTAATGACTAATGTGAATTAATATATTATATAACTCAAATAAATAGTAAGGTAACATGCTATAACATTTTTTAGTATTTATAATTCAATCTTTAATAAATATTGCAGATTAAATTTTTTTTAAATATTAGATATTTAAAATAGATCATTTAAAATTTTTTAAATGAAAATATATTTTAAAAACATTATTGTAATAAGTAATTTTTTTTTCATTCACGTAAAACTCAATTATATTCTTTCAAACTCACTTCTTTTCATCTTTATTTTTTATTCTAGTTTAAACATTTTCTTTATGTTTTTAATGACCAGTTCGATAAATTCAATGGTTGTGATTGAAATTTAAACAATAATTAGGCAATTCCCGCTTAGAATAGTATAATCATACTCTCTTTATATTATTATACTTTGAATTATGATTTTTATAAATAAAACAAATTAAATTTGTGAACATCATATATTCATATCAATTCTCTTAGAAATGAACAATTTAACTAAATCAAATTGATGTTTAAGTAAAAATATAATATCATATAAAGATTTTCTTAAGTTAAAAAATATAGACTTTATTCATTTAAGGAAATATTAGAGTATCTTGTATAACTTAAGCAAATTAATGACGCTTAAGTGATATTCATCTAACAATCTATTTTTTTCTCTTTAACTTTTGCATAAGCAAAGAAAATGACTTAAGTAAAATTTACAGAAATTATATAAAACAAATGCAATTAATGTATAAGAAGGACACGAAGAAGATTTAAAATAACATTTAACTGTTTATTAATACAAAAGTTGATTTTCATGATAAATTGAGATTATAAGAATAGATATAAAAGTTTTAATTTTAAAAATCATCAACATTATATTAATTTAAAGTTAATTTTTTATTACAATTAAAATTGCATCAATACATATGAATGCAATCTTCTTAAATTCACAACTAAAATATAGAATACATACAAAATTTATTTGAAAAATATAAAAAATTGACTATCAATACAATAACAAATTTTGAAAGTTTAAAGAACAATTTTATAAATTTTTATAAATAATTAAATAATAAATATATAAAAACTAATTTTATTAAAGTTATAAATAAAAAATCAAAACTATTTATTTAAACATATCTATTTGTTTAAAAAAACTCACTTACTTATTTACCACTTATTTTTGTTAACCCATATTAATTTAATGGTTAACTATTCACAAATTTGCAATACCAAAATCTTATTTCACTAGTATAAATTTAATAATTTTTATACTCAATTTAAATTTTTTATCTAATTTATATTTAACAGTTAATGAAGTAATAAATTATAACGCGTTACATTAAATTTTTAAACTTACACTATTTAAATGATTTAAATAAAACAGTTTTATTTAAACATCAATAATTGACTATCTCTATATGTGACTATAGTGACCTAGCTGAATTAGGTAGGTTTTAAATTTAGTTCTATGTGGATTGCAGCCCATTACATAATTTTTAATATTCCATTCTTGGCAAGTTTTAATGAATCAAGGAAGCACAGAATTTTCATAAACCGAAGTATATGCCATAAAAAAACACGTATCTGATTGCATTACACAGAAAACACCACTGCTATTCAATATCTATTACAACATTTTACGGTTACGATTTTTCTTCTATATTCGTAGTTGATCATTTTGAAATATTTACTTTTAAGAACAGAGAAAATGCATATAGAAGCTACAGGGAAACGCAGCATTCATTCCTTTATCAGCACTGACACATATTTGTAAATATTAACTTGATCTTCAAACTATCGATAACAATAGCATTGGTAATTGTTGGAAGCAAAGATCTTCAAAAATCGAAATGATGTCCTAATCCAGTATTTGTAACATACAAAAAGTTTGCTTGGCATAAAACCATTATTTCCTCTCCATATTTAGAACTTAGAACCATTTTCTTTTGTATTTTCTTAAACAAAAGAAACACTCCCTAATAATAAAAACACAACTCCCATTAAGAAAAATGAAATAGGAAGTTGGGCGAAACCAGAGAGTTATTCGATTATAATTGAGAAACAGCCAAACAAGTCTGGTAAAGCACAGAATGAGTTAGACGTATGATGTACAAAAAAATCAATGAAATCCACATAACTGCCCCCAAATAAATAAATAAATAAAATAAAAAACTATACAGTATGAACATGTATATACACAGGCCTCACTTCATCATGATTGCAAATTCTTCAAAACTAAGCATGCCATCCCCATTCAAATCAAACTGATTGATCATGACTTTGCATTCATCAATGGACTTGGACTCACCCATCTTCTTAAGCATCCTCTTCAAGCTCTTTGGGGTAATAAAACCACACCCTTCAGTGTCATACATCTCAAAAGCTTCTCTCAAATCCTTCAACTTCTGTTCCTCTCCCCCAGCTTCCATCAAAGCAATCAAATCCTCCAAATTCAACAACCCATCACCATCTGAATCCAATGCTTCAATTGCCATTTCTGCTTCTTTCATCAAAAGCTCCCCTCCCATCACTCCCAACCCATGCCTCAGCTCTAAAGGTGAAACCTTTCCATCCCCGTCTTCATCAAAATATCGAAGAACATCCTCAAACCCCGCGTGCTTCTCCATGTTACAATGCACAGAACGTCAAACCAATGTATTTGTAACCAAAAAGGTTAGTTTATACAACAAAAATGTAGCTTGTAAATGTGAATGGAACATGCGATATTATGAGTGGTGTTTATATAGAAAAGGGCTATGTCGGTTTTAGAGGTGCGTGGTGGTCGTGTTGAGATAATGCTAAGGTACCTAAGAAGTTGCTGAGAATTTTCCAATTTCCCAAGAGACAATATAACAATTGATTAAGGGCATGGAGGCCACGGCATGTGTAGGTGTCACGATATTATTGGTAATACCAACCACAAATAATTAATATGACAAACACTTACGAATTGAAATTGGAATTTGATACGCGCAAACTACAATTAACGGTAAACTGCTTTTGCATAGTGAGCAACGTGGCGACAATGTTGGCACCGCGGCACAATTGCCATTCAACACGTGTCCCTGTGCCGTACCCACTCGTACATTATTATACGGTGATGTTTTATTCATGATAATAAAAAAATAATTATCAACACGTGTCCGTGTGCCGTACTAAATATCTACTTGACTATATTTTAGGTTAAATGACTTTTTCTAGATTTTAATTTTAGTATTTTATTTTTCTTATTTTGATGTTTTTATCTTTAATAATATATGTTGTCTATCAATTAATATAAATTCAAAATAATCTTAATCATTCAATAATGCATAATAATCATAATTAGTCATATTATGTAGGATTATATGACGATACCATTAAGATTAACTTATTATATTATTTTTTGGGGTATATTTAACTCTATATTACCAGCACGTGTATGGATTCTCTCCATCCATTTCAAATCTGAACCCTTTATATTAATAATGAATTGTGAATTTTATATTGATCATTTAGTTTTAATTATTTTCTTATCATTAAATAAAACATTAACGGGTTGGATCTTAGATGGAGAGGGAATAGAGGGAAAATGAAGGAAGGCGCAAGCACATGACGGGATTGGTGCCCGTTGAAGGAACGAGCAATGAGTTCAACGTTCGATAGCACGTCCTTATCATTTGTTGTTCATCATTATCAAACGATGCCTTGTCAATAATGCCTTTTACTTTAGAGTAATTTACTAAATTGATTCGTCAATTCTGAAATTTACGCTTCCATTTGTTTGTTTAACTGAAAAAGATGGAGCAGCATTGCTAAAACGTTACATCTGGAATCCCCATATATCGATCATTATACTCATCACCAGCCATATCTTGGCGCTTCTAATCTTCGTCATCACGGGATTTTTCACAACCCAACCGTTGTTAGTGATGCCTTGGTTTACCATTTCAATCTTGGATACTTATATCCAGTGATAAGTTTGTATTTTAACGCACTTTTTGAACATATTTATACTATTTATTTTTGATTTGAATAAGTTTTTACACTAATTAACTTGTTATTTGTTGTAGTTGAATATGTCTCACGATGCAACAGACTGATAGACTTTTTCAAATTAAATTTAAAAAAATTATGTTAATCTGGATAAAACATGTTCAAACCTCGACCAACTAGCACGCTCATGTTGAGAAACAAAGCACAATTGTGCATATTGACCAACATGTCCATGCTTCGATTTGATGCACGGTTGTACTTAATATTATTTATGGTTGTACTTGTCAACTGATACAACTAAATGAAGACATTTTTTTAAAATCTATGTATTTGAAATTAGAAAATAGATTAGATTTGTCATTAAAAGAAAAACTTGTGAGCGACATTGTCAGACCCCAACTCTTAAGGCCTTAAGGGTAACGATGAGTGACATCCTAATTTTTACTCACACTTTCGAAAATGCTTGATGTCAGGAATTGACCACTTCTAGCATATTATAATTAATTATATAGTAAACGATCGTATTAAATGTAGTTAATGGACTCAGAATAAAACAATATAAGTAAGGATTAGGTAGACCAAATTTAACTTTTTTCTTTCAATCGTCATTTAATTAATAAGCTCATAGGCATTTCATGCTTTTTTATTTTTTTACTTTACATGATCATTGAAGGTAATAATTTGATTAAAAAATGGTTAACAGTGCATAACCATTAGATGTTAATAAAGTTTATATAAGTAATTGACAATCATAAAGAGATGAGAATCAGAATTAAGTTAAAAGAAAACATAAAAATGCTTAATGGTGAATCCTTAAGCCCTAAGTTCTCTTCTAATTAGTAATAAAAAATGTATTTCCTTGCTGTTTTTAACTTGATTAATTAGTTCATTTATTTTTCAATGTATCTCTTAAATTCAAACAATTAAATCAAAACTTTTTTGGTACTTAAAAATAATCATTGTGAGACGATAATTTGAGAACTTAATTTAAAATTTTATTATTATTTTTTAATTGATACATTTATTTACGAACACCTAACATTAGTTAGAATATGAAATCTCTCACCACATTCACCTAACTTTATTTCATTTCCCAATGTTAGGTTATTTAAGTGAATAACACGGTGCCTTTAATTTTTTTAAAAATTAGTATCTATAATAATTTGATTCATATATCTTAATTATTTATTTTATTATCTAATATACTTCTTTATGATTTTGTTTAAACATTTATTTTTAGTTAAAAAAGTCTTAAATAATTTAGCTAATTGCATGTTATTATTAACATGTTTAGTATGCGTATGAATTCATGTTTCCAAACATACAAAATGACAGTTATTGATTCAAATCTTATGGTTAGTGAATACAAGCAAAGTCATCCTAGTAACGGTCATATGCTCTGATGGTAGATTGGTTCTTAATCTTTTTAAATGAACATATTAGCCTTGATTTTGTTAAGTCTGATATTTTAGGCTAATTAAAAGTTTTTTGTATAAAAAGTATTAATTTTTATCATTAAAAAACACTTAGAGATATTAAGACAACGTTGTTTCACACTTGACTAATGTGCCTGATTTTTGTATCTCTAACATTCTCTTCTCTCCACACGCTCATGACATTCCTATTTGTCATTGTCACCAAACTTACAATTGCAACTTTAGCTATTTGTCATCACTGTCTTTTCTACGTCCTTTCGTTGTCTTCTATACGTTCTCCTATAAGCTTGCTTGTAGATCAACCTGTGGCGAGATGAGGTTACAGTGGCAGCAGAGTTTGAGGGTATCTCGACCTAGTAAATCATCGTTAAACTCAGATTTACATATTCACTACCACCATTATTATCGTAACATTTATTATTGTCACCAGAGATTATTCCCCATAAAATTTGTTACTAGGAGTTTTGGTTTGCAAAAGAAAGAGGTTATATGGTGGGAGCAACCTTGCCTCTGCCGCATGCTGCTTCTTTGTTGAATTGGATGTTAGTGAAGGCAACAAATAGCTGGAGCAGCAGGTGACGCTGACAAAGAAGTTGGTTGTTATAAAGATTATTAATTTAGCCAACCATTATAACAAAAATTAATAATTGTTAATTGAATTAAAGTGTCATGAGTCTAACAAAGTTGAGGACCAATTTAGCCTACGATCTCCGATATCAATTTGGGAAGTTACTTGTAATATAAATCACTTTTATGTAAAACAATACTGCTACTTTAACGGACACATATTCACCTCTTTCCCTTTTCAAGGACGATATGCTGAAAGAAAGAAAGAAAAAATGCAAGGATAATGGTGACCGTATTTAAAGGAGTGTCTCTTTCTTTCAATGAGATTTTGAAATAAGAAAGAAAGAAGAGGAGTAGTCACATGAAACGTGTGTAATTTAAGGTTCTATTTATTAAAATACGATGGCTGTCTGCTAAACAATGAGTACATGACTAAATTATCTGGTTTTCCGTGAGATACGGACACCGACGGTTTATCTAAGACTTTTATTTTTATTTTTTGTTTCAACGTATTCTTTGACTACATTATTAGTACCCGTCCACTCACCCCTACCGAGTTTTTGTTACAATGCAGACAGAGTATTAGCGCGTAAAGTGTGGATAATGCCTAATATTATATTACTTCTTTTATATATATATATATACATAATTTTTTATATTGATCTGAGTCTTTTATTTTACTTACATATAAAATAATAAATTATAACATGTTAGATATAAGTCAAATGAAAGGTTTAAATTAATATAAATTTTTTTAAATTTACACTTGATTTAAGTTTTTTTTTTAACTTACATATAATGAGTTATAATTTATTACTTCACTGACTGTTAAATTAAATAAAAAGTTTAGAGTGTAAATTTTTATATTTATACTAGTGTGAGAGGATTTTTTTTTCATATATATAATTACAAAAGTTATATTTATATGTTTAAAAAATATTTATCCATCATTTCTCGGTTTATCTGACTAAATAAATGTCAACCTCTTACCCTTGTACATACACGAACATTTGCGTCAAGTTAAATGAAATTTCAATGATATTGTTGCATTATTAAATAAGTTTAATAACTTACAAAATGCCAATATCATTAAAAGATGTAAGAACACATCATCAGACGATATTTATACAGCCATAATATATCAAAATCAATTTGGTAAAACTTCATTTTACATGCAATTTATGCTGAGTTTTCTAGCGTAATAATTTACTAAAAGATCATCCTTGGTTGAACAAATTAAGACTTCCATTAGCATAATTCCAAGTAATAAAAGAGCCCTTAACAATTCATTTCGCACTCATCGCCTATATGATCGCAATTTTCTAGTCCCGATTCTATTACCAAGTTCGACAATGCTCTCAATGTGACTAAAGATAAATTATTGTATCAGTAAACTTTTAGGTTTATTTATAATTGTTTGATTATAATCTTCTAACTGCTAATTGCACGATGTTAGTCCCACTAGTTTGGCAGCTACACAATTTTGATTTCTTATTTATTTTTTTAATTTTACATCTATTGACTTATCATTCAAATTTTAATATAGCAATAAAATATGTCAATTATACTTATGTGTCTATTTGTTTGATTAACTTTACACCACAGGTTAAGTTATCACACTATTGGACTAGGTGGTTAAATACTTATACTCTTAACTCTTTGTATTACTTCTAACTTTCCAGTAAATTTTGCTAATCTTTTTTCTTTGAACATAAAAACAAACTCATTAACATAATTAACATAAGTACATTAACATTATTAACAACGGTTTTCTTCTTTTAACGTAAACATATAAACTCATTAACATAAATACATCAACATTATTAAGAACAAAATGAACATGAATATGATTAAACAACTTACGACTCTATTAATATTTAAATAATAGGCTAATAACTACAAAATTAAAATAAAATATAGGAACTAAAATTATGCAATTAGAAGATCGGAGACGAATCTCAAATAAATGAATAAGTAGAACAACCAAAATTGCACAATAAAAGATTGAGACCGAAATCAAACATGATCCTTAAAATCGTAAACATTAGTCATTTTACTCCGTAACTTTATTAAATCTACAATTTATTTATTGATTTTGTAAATATAATTTATTTTAGCTTTTTCTTCAATTTTTATTATCATCTTTGTATGAAAAAAAAAACTAAAATAAATTCGTTTTTAAAGCAGAATTTTATGATGTCAAATACTAAATTGATTGAGACTAAATTACCCATGCATTGCCAGAAAACCATATTTCGCATCATGGTTTACATCAACAAATAGACGTCTAACGTGCTTTTCCCGTTAAAACTACTCCACATTACACATGCCTCTATCCTTCATTTTTCATGGTAACTTTGACCTGACCTCAAAACACATCAAGATAGGACAGTACTTGTATACATCAAACTAATGTCAGTTTTCAAATATAAAATAATCAGTTTCATGTGATTGATTCAAAGCAAGCAAGCAAAGGAAACTTAGAAAAACAAGTCCATGAGTTGCTTCATCAAGCTCCAGTTGCCTCAACCATTTCTTGCTCCACTGTGCTTGGAGTAACTGGGTAATAATGGTAATGAAGTTCCCCAACATCATCACCAGACAACTTTTTCCATCCATTTGGTCCCACATAGTAAACTAAAATCATATAAATCCCCAAGTTAGTGAAACAGATCGATTTTGTGCCTTTCAAATTTATAGTTATAAATTATGCATCTAAGTAGCTGCTGAAAAATACTCTTCTAATCAGTGATAATGACAATAATTTCCTATATTAACATTCCATCCTACCCAGTTTGAAACCATGAATTACCTTCAATTATTTATTTAACTGGAAATGGTAAAATGCACATAATTTTAGGTCAGCATGAACATTTGTACTCCAGCACAAGTGAATGTGTACCTCATGAGACATACCAATTATGCTACCATGCATGTCTGTGTCTAAATACTATTTTATTCCTGGTGAGTGAGAGGATGCCAAATAAATGTCATAAACAGATATAGAAGTCACTATGTAGGCATGTAGCTGTAGCTACGTCAATGGGGAAGAAAGAGTACCGCTAGCAACTCCACCGCTAGCTCCATCACGAAATGTTGCATGATAAATTGAACGCCTAGCTAGTTCAGCAGCTTCCTCAACTGACATGTCATATCGGTACCTAGTATAACAAGGATAGTGTTGATAAGTTTTGGCAAAAGAGTTATAGGCAACGGTTAAATAGAACATTTCACTAACCCGCTGTCCAATACACCATAAGCATATGGTGAACCAGATCCAACAGAGAATCTAGTGCCTTTAAGTCTTCCTCCTTCACTATCAACATAGTATAGACCAGGACCCTAAAAAAAAAAATTAACTGTTATAAGAAACAATAGGATTAGCTGAGCAAAACTTATATAGTAATTTGACATGTGAATTACCGTCTCATCCCATCCAGCAATCATGGTACCAACAGATAGCCCCATTCCACGGTAAGAGTATAAAATATTGGCAAGCAGCTTAGAGGCTCCTGTTACTGAAATTCTCCTTTTATTTGCCAATTCGTGCAAGCGACACTACAAATAATATGGACAAGATCAGAGAACCCATTTATAATATAAGCATAAAAGGGAAGAAAAATATATCTTGGAAAACAAGTCAGAAGATAGAAAATTCTTTGAAGTTCATACGAACAAGACATTTAGATCTATGTTAGGCATGGTTATGTTAGTGGATGTAGTGTTGACCAGCTGATTAATGACCCAAACCAAGTGTCCATAATCTGAAAGGATTATACCAGAAGGAAAGGCTTGGCAAGTTACTTGTACAGAAATGGCTTATGGACATGTAGGAGATGGTTATTAGGTGAGGAGATGAGAGAGGACAGAGAATCATTCTTGAAAGAATCATAGGCTCTAGATACTTATCTGGGTGAGAAGGAGGTATTGCCTTCTGTATTGCTCTTCTATTTTTTCAGTTGATATTCAGTAATATCATTGATTTTCCTCCCATAAGTTGGGTCTCTATGGATATATGCATAGTTGTTAATGTGAATAGCAGCACGTAGCAGACAACTCTCAAAATGCTATAGAAAGAAAGCGCATTACGGGATAACTGCTATTTTAAAGTTTTTTATATGAATATAAAATATATTCATATGCATATAATTATGTATATAATGCTAAAAAATATGCATAAATAGCATATGAATAATTATCAACAAAAGACATAAAGAGAAGAAAAAAAGTGAATTTTCCGAAAGAATATAACAAAGGCAAGACCATATAGAATCATAGAATAGAGAGAGAAAAGGAAGTGGATTTTGCCAGCCAAGTCATCGAAGATGAGTGACTTAACTAGATTGGAGATTGTTGCAAAACAAATCAGAGCAAGGTAGTCAAAATCGAAATCCTACCTAGGATCAAATGCGAGAGAAAAATACATAAATTGTAGGATCGTACCATAAATTGTAAAATCTTACCTAACATATAAAACTATAATTAAACACACACACACACATATATATATATGGAGAAAGATCTTCTTACACTAGTATAAGTTAAATGAAAGACTCATACCGAGTGTAAGAATTTTTAAACTTATACTAGTGTGAGAAGATTCAATCCCTATATATATATATATATATATATATATATATATGCATCAAAAACCAAAAATAAGATAAATAAGAAAAAAATAGTCTTAAATTCAAACAAGACAATCACAACTTAAATATTAAAGACAATAAGTTTTCAAGTCAATTACACATAAAACTCAAAGTAGTACTAATGCAAAAGAAAATAGACGAACCGTCCAACATCTCTATTCCCTATTCTAACAAATCATTCAGGTTTTGATCGTAATAACCATCTTTTATAAAGAGGGAGAGGAAGAGCAGAAATATTGAAACAAAGGTAGAGGAAGCAACACACTGAACCAACCCATATTCAATAACCCCCAAGTCATGGTCATGTCCAAAAATGATGAAGAAAGAGACCATTTGAAGGACAAAAGGGTAGAGAATGACTAGAACGGACTCACAGAGTGCTGACAATGAAGAGAAATGCCAATTGCAAGTTGCAGAGAGGTGAGATTGAAGAAAAGTGTTCGAAAAAATCCTAAACACTCGGGTTGTATAAGTCAGGTCAAAATAAAATGGGTAGGTCAAATGGGTTCAAACGGGCTTTTTGAAAAAATGGGTCTGAAATCAACTTGCCCAAGATCGGACAATTTCACAAAGAAGATTGTGCAATCCCACCAGAATGAGCCATAGTCCAGGATTGGGATCGCTTCACTCATAGCGTATCGTAAAATTGCAGAGTCTTACGTGCTAAATTGTGATTTTGACTATCATGGAACAGAGACAGAGATGAAAGGAGGGAGCATTGAACTGAGAAGGAGAGAAGAAAAAAGGTGGAGAAAAAGTTGGGTTTTGTTATGTGTCTCTAGTTGCAAAGCTGAACAGCAATAGAGATGAGAGGAAGGGGTGCCAAAGAGAGAAAGGAAGAAAAAAATTTTGCAGAAAAGTGAGGTTAGGTCTGAAAATTGAGAAGACTATTTTACCCTTAAATATCTCGAGACTAAGTCATCTTCAGGGCAAAAAGGAAAAATCAGCTTATTTCTAAAATATTAGAAGTCTTTTTTACCCTTAAAAAACTCTAAAATTCCTTTGTTTTGAGGGTACAAAAGGAAAGTCGGTGTCTTTCCCTATGGTTGCGCCTCAAAGGGCCGCGTTTTGGGCCACAAATACAGCTGTGATGGCCGTGCCAGCAAAAATGCTCTGCTATGCCAGATTTGTGGTAGCCAAAGGTCGCTCTGTCCTGCACCACCTCTATCGTGCATTATTGATAACTATCATTTTATGAACATCATGGATTAAAAATCAATGATCTAAAACCCATAAGGAATTATGCGTACAGGAAGTTCTACAAGTCAAGTAATTGATCCAGAAGGAAGTCTATAATTATATCATTAAATATGCATCGAAATTAGTATTATAAATAAAAAAGGAAGACAGAATAAAATATTGTCTACAAACGATATAACATTTAGATATGCAAAGGGGTCAATCTGAATTGAATATCAGTTCAACCAAAAGTGGAGTGGATGTCATTATCAACATGAAGCCAATTATTTTCATAATAAACCAATCAAAAAACCAAAACCAAAGCGAATGAAGTATTTTCCTGGTACTGCTCTATCTAGTCCAGATGTTATCTAAAGAAAAGTAATGAATGCATCAACATCAATGTGCATGCATTAATATAAGAGTAAAAAACAGCAGCTTCCTTTGAGGTTTGCAAAAAATATTTAAACATGCTACTTACACACATGCATTATAAATTAGAACAAAGTTTAATTCAATCTAGCTTGAAGGAATACAATTTATTGACTGCTTAATGAAAATTAGATGTGAAAGCTATATTACACCACACACGGGCAACTGAGTAGAATATGGAAGGAATCAAAATTGAAAAAAGATTTGAACTTTCACAGTTGCACCCTATAAACTAATCTCTCCACATTTCATACATGGGAAAAAAAACTCAGCAAATTGGAGCTGAGAGTTTAGGATATCCTAAATTATATAACTATCCTTCTAAACAAATTCATCTTAAATAAATGGTTATGTCTGAAATTTCTATATCAGAATTTTCTTCCCATCCATTTTCACTGTTCCCAAGCAGTACATAAAAAATGTCTTGTCATTTTGATTCCCACCATTTACATGGCATTCCCAACAAGAGAGCAGAGCAGACCACCCTCCCATCCCATAGTCCCATTTCCATTCCATCAACTTTCTTTCACTCCTTACTTGCTTCCAAAACACAGCCTATGCAGCCTAAGGACAAATAATTCCCAGGCAATGAGTCTAAATATCCTTCAAAAAGGAGATCAAGTTCAGCTTGCTAACAGCTAATATGACAACACGACAACAATAACAATAATTGCAATGAAATAACCAACGAATGGCAAGTTAGGGAAGACTCTAGCGCAGCAGGCACTTCAGCGGAAGACACAGCTAAAAGATAACAAGACAGACAAAAGTAAACATGCACAATAAAAGTTCACATAAATTACCTTGATCCCTAAATTTCTGTGCCAAAACTGGCAATCAGCAGCACCACCAGCCATTGTCCCAAGCATATATGGATTGATTTCAATAATTTTCTTCACAGACTGTGATGCTGGAGATAGCAAATACTCATAAGATCAATTACAGCCGTAAATTGACAAAACTCATTATCTATTAGCAGCAAGTAACACAAAAAAAAATGCTTTTTGCCAAAGAACCAAAGAGTTGTAACGATGAAATTAACACTCACATATATATCCTCCCATGCTAGCTCGAGAATCAGCAGCTACCATGACACCCTCCTTAAATATAAAAGCAAGTGTCGTGGTACCCTTCGCAGGCTTCACCATCTGAATAGCTTCTTTCACGAATCCATCGAACTAGCACCCCAAACACAGACAGATACTTCAGATAAAACCATCAAGCTCCAACCTTTCTCTATAATAAACTATACCATAGCGCTTTATTTTCATTACCCCACAATTTCAGAAACAAATTTCAACCCCAACTTTTATTTCTTCTGATTTTTGCACATACAGTTTCGGAATCGTACAAAATTCAAAAGTTCAGGCGAAGACACAAACAAGTACTCACATCATTGGAATTTGGAAGGTCGAAGGATGGGGCAGCGGAGAGGTCTCCAACGACGTCATTTCGAGGTGCAATCAGTGAAGGAAACGATTCGAGACCACTGGTATCAAGCTTCATTGTTGAAGATTAGTGACCTAAATGAAAACAAAAGGAAACGACATTATCATTTCTTTTAACCCTAAAATATATAATTAGATAAATAAAAACGGGGAGAAATTTAAAATTAAAAAACAATCGAGAATTAAGAACATGGCGCACGGACTCTGGGAGAAGAAGTTGCAGTGTGAGATCTCAGTGGTTGGGTTTGAAGCAATGAGAGGAAAGTAGAAAAAGGAACTGCCTTTCAGCATAGGTTGGCTTGGAGAAAAAGGCAGGACTCCATTTGGGCCAGATCGGCCCACAATGTACAATTTCTAAGTACAGTGACCCATTTATAATAAAAACACATCAAATTAAATTGCTAAAAAAAAAAAGCTAATTAAAATATCTAATATAGTATTTCCATGCTCTGTATCAAAATATACTTTAGTTGCATGGTTTCCATGCTAGGTTTAAAGTGCACGCCAATAAAAAAAAAAAAATTCAAAGGTAGAAATTAAGTGTGTCCAAACTCAAAGGATTTATAACTAATTTTTCGTTTAGAGTTTGAAATTGTTGATTAATCTTAACAAATTTTGCACACATCAATGTTTGAATATAAAACTCCATGCAAAATAGATTTAAGTACACCTATGATATATTTGGTTGCCACTTTTTTTTTTCTTCTTACTTATAGAACAAAGTCTTTTTTTTCTTTCATTTGTACTAAGGTGCTAATGAGAACTACCAAAATAAATAAATAAATAGGTGATCTCTTATAAAAATTTGAAGGTCCATGAAAAAAAGTCTAACAAATTATATATAATATGATAAAGATAATTTTTGAAACACTCGAGAATGTAATATATATATAATTTAAGAATGTAGAAAAAAAAAATCCAAACTTTAATTTATGTATTCTAATTAAATATTATGAATATTAGGTTAAATTTAATTTATGTTAATTTAATCTTTATTTTTATTTTTTTAAGGTAAAATTTTATGTTTTAACTAGTAAATATACCCGTGCAAGGCATGGATTTGTACAAATATATTTATATATATTTTTTAATTTAATTTAAAAATAAATATAATTTAAATAATAACTATTTTTAATGTAACAGAAAAATAAAAAAAAATTGATTATTTTTTAAAATGAATTATATAAAAATAAATATAATAATTAAACTTAATGACTTTAAATATTTTAAATCTTAATAATAACAATTTAATTATATATTAGTAAATATAATTGTGTGTTATACAAATTTATTTATATTTTTTAATTAAACTAATTTATTTTAAAATAAATAAAAAATTTTAATTTAAATATAAAAATATATAATAATAAAATTTTATTATATTAAATAACATTAAATATAATTATATTAAAAAATATGATAAATACATTTTTATACATAATTTTCTTGTATGTTTTATATATTTTTCATTCTCTTCAATAATAAAAATTGTTATTCTTTTAGTTGATATAAATATAAAAAATAAAATTTCTAAAAATAAATTAAAGAGAATATGAAAATGAAAATAAATAATAAAAATTTTAATTATTTTTAAATATAAATAATATAAATTTATTATATTATTATTGTTGATATTTTAAAATAAAAATACATAAATATATATATATATATATATATATATATATATATCAATGAGTAGAAATATAACAAAAAAATATTTTTTAATAAACAATGAGTTTTTTTATTATATTCAATAAGATCCATTTAAATGAAGTTGAATTTTTATTTTTTAAGAATTGAAATAAATTACATGAATTATATATAAAATTATTAAAACAAAATATTTAAATTTAACTTATAATAAGTAAATGTATATTAATGATTAATAATTCTAATTTAAAATATTTTTAACTTTTAAATTAGTATTAATTTTAATAATATCATATCATAAATAATTATATCAATACAAAAACATATATTTATCTGACTTTATATTTTAGGCATAATTTAGTTTATAACTGAAGAATGAATTGTAAGTCAATTACATAATTAAATATTCTAAAAAAAAATTAAAAGCATTCAAAATTTAATTTTAATCTCAAAAAAGTTTGCATAATTAGAATATAAAATGTTAATAAATAAATATGATTTGAAATATTAATATAAAAATATTGAAAAAAAATATTTTAAAAATTAATTCATGTCTTTATTTTATTGTAGATTTTTTCATAATTATAAGAAAATATTTAAAATGTGAAAAAAATATTAAAAAAATAAAGAGCTCTGATTTACTGTTAAAACAAATAATATATATATATATATATATATATATATATAGTAAATATAACATTCAATAATTTTTTATTAAATGTAATTTATACACTAACATCCATTTTGATAATGTGTTACCAGAATTATACGTGACTTTAAATATTTTAAAATTTTTAATAAATTTTTATTAAATACAAAATTAATGATTAATTTGTTGTTCTATTTTAACATGTATAATTCTCCATATTGGTCATTATTTGTATTATCAATATTATATGTAACTTTGAATATTTTAAAGTTTAGCAAGTATAAATTTTGTTGTAAATATATATAGTAACAAGTAGGTGTAGTAATTTTTAGATAAATTGATTTATAAATTTTAATTATAAAAAATATTTTATGAGTACTATAAAGATAATCAAAATTTAACAATATTATATTTTATTAATTACATTTTATTTATTGTTAGTATGTTTAAAATTTTTTTAAGAAGTATATTTATAATATGAGATTTTATTATTTTTTATAATTATTTTTAAAATATTTTTATTTATAGATTTTAAAATGACATATATGATATGTTAACTCTATAATATAATTTTAGATAATATAAATTTATACTATTATAGATTGATTTCATTAAAGAAATATTGATGAATTTAATATAATTTAATCAGTTAAAAATAAAATTTAATACATGTCACTTATAAATAACGCAGTTTTATGTTTATTCAATAAATTAAAATAAAAAATATAAATATAAATTTAAAAAAATAGAAAATATTAATATTAATAATATATGTACTTAATTAGATAAATAACTCTTAACATTGACATGATTGTAAAATAAAGTAAGATAATAAAAAAAATTTAGAAAATTTTTAAAAGTTGTGTATAATAAAAAAAATTATTTGCATTATAATTTACTTATTTTTTTATCATAAATATAATTTAATAATTTAGAATATAAAATAATAATATAATAATATATAATATAAAACAATAATTTTAATCAATACATTTAAATTTGAATATAAGATACAATTTAATTTTTCATTAACATATCACTTGAGTTATTAGCAAAAAATAAAATAAAAGTATGATCAATTGAGAACTTCATTTGATTTTTATGAAATTTTTTTATGTAATTTAATTAATACTTTTCTTTTCTTAATATTTTACAATGAATTTTTTTAATATTTAATAAATTTAAATAATTTTTATTAATATCACTCAAAACAAATTAGCAAAAAATATATATATATATCACTTGAGACTTTCATTCGATTTTTACAAATTTTTTTATGTAATTTAATTAATATTTCTTTCTTTTTTTAATATTTCATAATGAATTTGATTTTTAATATTTAATAAATTTAAATAACTTTTATTAAATGTCACTCATAAAAAATTTATTATTGTCTTTTGTAAAAATTGTATAACTATCCGTATAAAATTAATTCTAATAAAATTTCTTTAAATACAATTTAAAGATAATAATTATAAATTAATGATAATTTTAATTCTTGAGTTATGTAAAATATTATAATTAATTTTAATTAGTAATTATTAAATATAATTCATAGTCAATATGTTATTTTCGTTTCAGACATTATCAAAGCTTGTTTTATCCAAACATATCATTTTAAATATTTATAATAATAAAATTTGATATAAATATATAAAGTAATAGGTAGTTGCAGTTATGAATATTATAAGTAACTTTAAACATTCAAAAGTTTAATAATTATAAATTTTGTTATAAATATATATAATAATAAATAGTCATAGTCAATTTTACATATAACATAAGGTAAAAGATAAATATAAATAGATTAAGTAATTTATTATATTTTAAGTTAGTGACTAGACTACACTCATTATTAAGTTTCTTTAGGGTTTGATATTTTATTCTGTTCAATGATCCTAGTTATTAAACCTTTTGGAGTTTTATTTAAATTATTATTATTAAGCTTAGTTATTACCAAAGTCTTTTATATTCAAGCATATTCATATATGAATATACCTTTCATACAATAAAACTTTAAAGCCCTCTTTTAAACATCCCAAACCTTTAAAATTCACATTAAATTTATTTTTTATCCACTACTTCCTTTCCTATCTAAACCCACCATTCTCCAACTAAAAACAACCTTTTTCTTCTCTACCTTTCTTCTTTCTTTCCCTCAACTCACATCATCACCCATTCAAACTTTTCTCTCATCAACTCCTTACTCTCAACCATGAAAATATCTCTTCCTCAACTCATCACTTCAACCATAGCCTTTACCAAACTTTATAAGCTTCTCTTTTAAAAAAAATATATTTATTGCCCTAAAAACTCAAACCCCTCAAGTCTTTAGTTTTAAATTTTGGACTCCCCCCCCCTCCCCCTTTTAATAAAAAAATTAATTCTTTTTAATCTAAAAATTTTATTCCCTTTCTCTTTTTGGTGACAAAGATGATTAAGTTAAACTTCAAGGGACATCAAAGCAGTTTTCTAATAAACACTAGCTTGGGGTAAAAAGGATAGGTGCCAAGGAACTCGGTCGTCATTAATTTTAATAACCACTATGAAATCACCCGATTGACTCCAGCCTGATGTAACTTCAAATATAAAATTGATCTAATCAGGAGTTTGGTAGTGCGAACAGTAGTACAAGGATTGTCCAAGTTTCCTTCTGCAGATTCTCCCTATAACAACAATCTACAATTTTGGATTGCATTGGTCTATAACGAAAACTACAATTCCTTGCATAACTCTCAAGTTAAATTGACATTTTCTGTAAACCAAGGTAATCCTGATTGAGGACACTGTTTTGCATCTGGGATTGGAACAATAGGTCCCAGAAAGATGCGCCACAGATCAAGAATTATTGTGACCAGCATTGCAGCACCCAAAGCATCAACAGCAATTCTAGGCAAGTCCCATTTATCGCCAGGTTTCTCATCGATCCTGCATATTTACATGAATCCCCCCGCCAAAAATTAGTACAACATAGACTTATTCCCCCTCTTGTGGTAGGGTATGTAACTACTTTCCAAAGAAACAAAGGGGTGCATATTCAAGGCAATTAAAACACTGAATGAGGTAACTCAAACAGTTGCTAGTTGATACCTTACCTTAAAAACATTGGGAAGCTTACAGCAAAGTAGATGGCATAAAACAAACATCCCACTTTGTACATAGAGTCCCGATCCACAAATTGATAATAAGGGAACTGCATACATAGCATTATTCTCAAAAAGATGCATTTCATATTGAAGGTCAACTGCAATGCTAAGAATAAAATTTGGCATTTCCCCAGGGCTATTTACATAAAGGATAACACACTAAATCTTGAAATAAAACAAAAACTGAAACCATATCAACCATAGAAATTGAAGTTGTAAGCAAAACAATTAAGGCATAACTGGTCCACTCTATATTGCTTTCCCAAACTAATAAATTGTTCATAATAAAATACAACAACAACAACAACCAAGCCTTATCTCACTAATGAGGTTGACTAAAATTGTTCATAATAAAATAATGGAGCAAATTTTAAAAATATAATAAATGGTTTCAAATGACACCTCGGTGATATGCCCTGAAAGAGTATTCATAACCAATAAGAAAAATATAGAAAACTTGTCAGTTGGCTTGGGTGATACAGAGAAAGTATAAAATTTCACAAAGATGTAGGCACTAGTATTATATGACATCTGAGGGGAAAAATTGAAAGAACTTAATGCTACGCTATGTAAAAGTGCATCAAGAACAGGATAAAAATATAACCATAAAGGTTAAGCATAATGGTACATCTGCACCACACTCACGGATATTGAATCTGGAGTTATCAAAAGAGAACATTATCTTGATAAGAAAATATGTATCATTTTAAAGATAGGAAGAAGGTATGAAGTTATCAATTAGAAAAAAGGGAGAAATGTCTAAAGATGGTTTGGCTGGTAAATCAAAGAAAGAAATGGAGGTTCCATAGCACAAAAGAAATGAGAAATTAAGGCAGCAGGTGTTTTACCACAAAATAAAAAACAAGAACAAGAAAAGAGACAAATATACAAGTTCAGGCTGTAGGATGATTTTGTCATAAATAAAACCTCAGAAAGACTTCAACAACAAATAGTAAGGAACATCTAAATGCTTTGATCCCTCAAAACTATTACAATCAACATAACTATTCAAAAGTATTCACATGTCATGACAAAACAAAATATCTTGAGCTACAAAAAAAACAGTGGAGTCATTTGATTCATGTAGCTGATCCTCCCTAGTAGGAAATTACTTTTGCTGTTGTGGAGTCAAAAGGATAAGGAAAAATTTAATGCTGTGATGCCTAAACTATAAAAAACAATTAAATATTCAAACCAATTCATGAGTCATAACTATCAAAATATCTTGAGCAATCAAAAGAAAGTGGAGTTAAATTTATGTCGCACACCTACCTAGTAGGAGAAGACTGTAGTTGTATTGAAAGACAAGGGTAAAATGCATTAAAAATTAAAGAAATTTTGGGAAGAAGAATCGGGATATCTACATGAAGATAGGGTTTTTTTCAATTAAATGAAAACAATGTGGAAGAATCCAGCCTAGCATAATACAGAGATGGAGGATCCATCACACAAGACAACAACAATAGTCTAATCCATGATGCAAAAGCAAGTAATAATGAATATCTAAACACCCTGTAACATAAAAATTATGAATTGCAATCCATAAAACCATGAAATTATTTAAAAACACATGACTAAACAAATATCATACTAATAAAAACACATGACTAAACAAATATCATACTAATAAAAACACAGCAGAATGGTATGTCGCAACATACATTGGCAATAGCTATCGTCTCCAGGTATGCTATAAAATAAGCCAAAACAAGAATCCATGCCGCTTCAGTAACCCATTGAACTTTTTCTGACAAATGGGCAGTAAAATGTCGTAATCGGCGCAGAGTCATGTTCGATGTAACATGATAAAACAGGAAGCAAACATGAGTGAGCATGAATGTTGTGTGTGGTACCTGTCACCGCCAAATAGAAAAATTCAATAGAGAGTTTGTGGCTTCAATATGAGATAATTTATAGGTATTTGGCTTACATTGTTCATTTTCCATGATGGAAAGGTATAAGATGCACCCAGAACTGTGAAAAAGTAATGAGTCCAGAAATAATTCCCAACATAACTGAAGATTATTATCCAGAGAGCTGCCTGTCAGTATTAAATAATAAATATGTATATGTTAGAAAGCAAGTAGGTCAACTGATTAAACACAAATAAGTTTTATAATGAGATTGATCCATAACAATGATTGCAGAGCAGAAAGTACCATTTTTTATCAACATAACACAAGGACAAAAATTACATACAAAAGCATTAAAATCTATTTAGGACACTGAACAACTGAATCTGAATACAAAACAAAAGGAAGCTACAAAGTGTAAATGCTTTCATTAAGAGACAAGAAACTGCACCAGCCACAGTCCAAGACAAAACAAAACAAAGCTACAAAGTGTAAAAATAAATTTTAAATAAAAAATATATAATCTTAAATTCATCATAATTTTGCAATTGGAGAAGAAGAAGAAAATGGAATAGGCAAACAAAAAAAAATGAGAAAAACAAAAGAAGATGAGAAAGAATAAGCACCAAAAGACACTACTAGTGGACATGGGAGAGAAGCACATGTGAACAGTTAGAAATGGGGCAGAAGCTCGAAGGCTTTAGAGATGTGTTACCAACAACAATTAAATGAGACTTCCATGTTAGTTATGAAGGTGCCACCACATTTTCTTTCATTTTTGTCTTCAAATCGGATTTGGATTCTCTATAGTTTTGGAGAGAACTGCAACATGTAGTGTAGAGGAGAGGAGGGAGGGAGCGAGAGGGGAGAGGGGCTGGGTTTCTCTTGGGAGGGGGAGGGAGAGGGGGAAGAGGGCTGGGTGTGGGTGTGGGTGGGGAGAGCAGGATGCTGCATTTTCGCTTAAGCCAGCAAACAGAGTGTAAGGTCTGCAATTCGTGCCAAAATTGTAGAGGATTCATATCCCTTCAAATCTTAACACATAAAACACTGAAAATGACTTATCCATGTGTTCAAATTTGAGTCTCACATGCAAAATGTTTACAAGGAAGACATTTTCATAAAATTGGTCAAACATGTTTTCATCGTCACTGTTTTATTTTCAATGAAAATGGAAACAGAAAATGACAGGCCGCTACTTTTTCGTTTTACTAATTTGGATGCATACCGTTTCAGTCAATGAAGATTAAAAAGCAGAAACAAGATGGATGGCAAAAGAAAATCCAAAATGTGCATTTGATGTATAACGGCTTAGTTGTAGTTGTAGTTCTAGATAGGCCTCTATTAACCTAAGGGAGGAAGAAGAATTGGAATTGAGTGTTATAAGCCACACAAGCAAATTAAACCCTTTGATCTAAAACTAGATAAGGTAATAGCCGATCCGGGTATGGCCAGCAATGACTATTAATTACTCAAACAAAAAGTATAACTAAAAAATAAAGCACCAACATCATTAAATGACAATCATAGGTTAAACTAATAATGCAAAGCAACAACGACAAATATTTGTAAAGTTTTACTCCAGAAAAACACTTGCCTTGACCCAGTAACGATCCTTCAAAGCCACGCCTCGATCAGCCTGCAAAATTCGACATCACAAAAGAAAAAAATCACAGCACGATCAGCTCACATGGACCGCATCAGCATTAGTTGTTGCGGCATAAGGAAATGTAGCAAACCTTTCCAACGAAGAGTATCGGAATAACGAAAGAAGGAACAGCAGAGATCAATCCTAGAAGCAGATACTCCAATTCGGTGAAGCTCTGGGAAACAAGACGACGTCGTTTTAGGGAACAGATAGGAAGAAAGAAAACAAAAAAGGTAGAAAGGGAAGGAGAACCTCATAAAGATGGAGGGGAACGACAATGCCGAGACAGAGGGTGAGCCAGAAAGGGGTGTACATAAGGAAAAAGTGTTCCCCCCATCTTTTGCTGGGGTTTTGAGCCAACCACAAGCTGGGTGAAGCTGAAGCTGTAAGCCAAACAGTGAGTGAGGGATTTTATCAATAAATGAATGAAATCTGAATCTGAGATTTGATATTTGATATCTGAGAGACAAAGAATTGTTACCAGTCATTTTTGGCATTAGATCTGCTTCGATACGCCTACGGAAGGAACGAGTGGCACTGTCTTTTGACTCCTCACAGTAGAGATACGATGATTGATATCAGATGAGATCTCCCGAATGTCGCGTCGATCTAGGTAGGACCAGATCTATTTAAAGTCACATGCAAACCCTCCCCCAGCACCTCACAATTCATTTATTTTTAGTAAAAATTTAATTTGTTGTGTATAAAGAAAGAGGAATTAAATGACGGGAATTACACTGCCAAATCATCCTTAATAACTTTAAATGAAACGTTATTTTTAATATAAACAAGAGGGAAAACAGGTGGGTCATCGGGTTTGGGCTTCGAGGCCCAAAATGAATCAAAATTAAGATAATAATATTTTTGGCTAAAGTCGACTTTAAATTTATTTAGTTGATTTGAATCTTGAGTTAAAAAAATACAGTTTAGTTGAGTTGATTACTGTAGTTTGGGTTTACATTTATTCTTATGCATCCACGTGTAGGTATGCCTTTCTAATTATGAACCTATAACCTTTGTTTCTCTCTCTTTTTTCAGTGGGAAGAAGGCTGGTCTCGTCGCTACCACTGCAATTCTAGTAAATCCAACAAAGAAATCGATTTTAATTTTGGTTGCTTAAGCCTATCATGAAAACAAAGAGAAGAAAATGTTTTCTGATGTCATTTCAACAAGCAAAAGTATCGAATTGAACACAAACACACCGCGGATGCTATTTAGGGGTATTTATGGTGAAAAATGACTATTTGTAACTAAAGATCAATCTGGAGACTAGATTAAGTTCTCTTTAAGTTCTTTTAAGTGTGTTATTAACATAACAGTAAAATAGACGTCGCAAATTAAACAATTTAGGAAGAATAGTGAATATGAAACGTGTAAAACTGAATCACAACGTAGAAGTTTTTTTTACAGCAATGTGCTAAATAGAAAGCAAATTGCAGAAAAAGTGCGTGAATGTAAACGTACGACTCCTCACAACAGCGAATAACGGCCACTGTGAATCGCCTTATAACTGGTGTCTGACACGGTGCAGGGTTTCAGTGTGCAGAGAAATTTAGGTGCAGGTTCATGGTGCAAAAAGTCGTCTTTTGTAAAATGGCGCTTTGGAGTATTTATAGGCAGGAAGACCACTACCATTCTCCTCCTTTTGCGGGCACTTCTTAGTAACTAACTTCAACTGTTGATGTCCATTATCCACGATTGCTTGTGATCGTATTGTTGGTCGGGGCTTCTTTCGTAACCGTTAGCGTCCACGATCTCCTTTGTGTAATAGTGAATGTTGATGACCGTTGGTAACTGCTTTTGGATTTTGCAATGACTTGATCTATCAATACTTTTTATTTTTCTATCTTTCGAGTGTTTCTGGGAGAAATTTAGGAGGCTCATTTAGTGTTATGGTCTTAGAATAATTTAGGAGACTCATTTAGTGTTATGGCACTTTGCATACCCTAAGTTTTATGAATAAAACTTCTATATAATTATATATTATTTTAATTATTTGTGTTAACAATAAATTATAAGGACTAGTTTATATATAAAGATTATTTTTATGTAGAGACTAAAACTAATAAATATTATGTTCATATGAATATATGATCAATTAATTTAATATTAAACTAATTACTGTATTAATCAATTCCTATGCGCAACAAAACACAATTGTAATTTCTTACTAGTTGATTCGCAATAGTATATTTTTTTTAATTGTATTTTAGTATGCCTTTTTGTTATTTTATCTATATTTTAACCATTCTATCTAGTTTTTTTTATATAAGAATATCTATCAATGTGATTTAAGTATTCAAACCTCTTTTTCTTATTTATTTAAAGCTTTGTGTTTAACTTTTTAATTTTTATATATTTTTATTTTATGGTAAGTTTTTATTTTTTTAAATTAAATCAGCTAATAATTTGTTCTCTTTTTTTTTTCCACATATTTTGGTTTTCTCTATCATTTTTATGTAAGTTTTTTTTTAACTTTTTTTATTTTTTAATTAAATTTCTTTTAATATTAGTTTTTTTATATCTTCTTTTTAGACTGATCATGATTGTTTATTTCTATTTATTTGATTTTAAATTTTTTCCTTTTACTATCTTTTTTCTATATAGTCAATTTTAATATTTTAATTGATATTAATTTGGTATTTTACATTTTTCGTTGTTAATATTATCCAAAAGGTTTTGAATCAAGGATGTTTCATAATAAATTTGTAGTAATAAAATTTATTAACTCATGTAATTAATCATTATTACAATCTTTCATTGTTTTTCTATTTAATTTTTAAGTTTTTCAATCGTTTCTTAATAAATTTATAATATAGCATTCATTAGAGATGAGGCTTCATTTTTATTTCAATACTTTCTCTTTCATTAAATATAGAAATAATAAAATCAATACATTATTAAGAACTTAAGTTTTCAAAAATTATTCAGTCATTAACATGTATTTATATATAAAAAATTAAACTCTCAATTAATCAATACAAAATTTCTAATTTTATAAACACGTTTCTCTATTTCTAGGAATATAATTGAATTTATTAATTAATAAATATTGTTTTCCAATGTTTGTCTAAGAGAACACAATAAAAAATTATATATAATTTTTATTAGAAATCATATTTTTAAAATAATATTTCCATCTCTTTATATATAAATTAACTATACATAAAAATGTATGCATTTATTGTCACAAAAATAATAATTAGGAGCATTTGAGAAAGTAAGTAATAAATAAAAAATAGATATATTTATTGTCTTAAAATGTAAATTATTTTTTATTTAGTTATTAAGAAAATTTGCTGGCATTCAAGGTAGAAGAATTTAAAAATATTCTAATTAAACTTTCTTATATCGTCCAACAAATATCCTTCTATAATTACAATTTTTCCATTCCTTTATAAAGTAATTATTAAATAAATTTTTTATACATTTATTATCTTAAAATATAAAATAATTCATAATTCATTCATTTAGAAATTAAGTGAATTTGTAGGCATATATACTAATACAAGGTTAGAGAAATAAGAAATATTCTAATCAAAGAATATATTTTACTACATCCATCTACATATCTTTCTAATAATATTTTATTAATTTATAAAATATTAAATAAAAAATTATATATTTATTATTTTAAAAAATTAAAATATATTTAATAATTTTTATTGAATAATTAAGAGAATTTACAGCTATATAAAAGATAGAATGATTTAAACTACTCTAATAAAAATTTATTATATACTGATAATAATGATAATGGTTCTCTTACTTTATAATATAAGTATTAAATAAAAAGTGCATATATTTATTATTTTAAAAATATTTAATTATTTATTAATTTGATAATTAAAAATATTTGATGGCAGCTGGATTTAAAAAAATGCTATATCTTTCTGCATATATTTTTAATGATCTTCTTGCTACTTAATAAAGTAAGCACTAAATAAATATATGTATGTATTTATTATTTTAAAAATATAAAAAGTATTTAATTATTTTTTCATTTAGTAATTAAGATAATTTATAGACATACACAGTAAAATGATTTAAAATTGTTCGAGTCAACTTGAAAATTAATAATATATAATTAAGACAACTAATAAGATTATTTAATTTGGTAATTAAAAAAAAATATATGTTGATCCTATAAATATGCCTATGCAGACTCTCTCTTTAGAAAACAAATTATTAAGTAGCACTTAGTATTACTTTGTTTAGAGTACCTCAACAGTGATGGCATTAAGCAGGGTCTTTATCTTTGTTGTCCTTTTCTGTTCTTCTCAAATTCGCAATGTGGTCTCCGCTGATTACCAAATGGCGCTCAAAAAATCTTTGTTGTTTTTCGAGGGTCAACGTTCAGGGAAGTTGCCTCCCAATCAGAGGGTAAACTGGCGAGGAGATTCAGGGCTCACCGATGGCCATGATGCTAATGTAATGTTAATCTATTATCCATTTTTCTTCGTTGTTGAAAAAAAAAACCATTCTTCCATGGTTCTTCCAATGAAATTAATAATTATTTGAGATCTTTCATATTGATAAAATCAAATTCCTATTTCTCTTCTCATTAATTTCATTTTATGCTTTCCTAATTGAAGAGTAATATTATTTTAGCAAAAAGAAAATTAATAAAAAAAAAAACTAACCAATTTCTACCCTAGTTTAGAAAAAAACATAAAAAATATTTTTAACATACATTCATTGTGATTTTTGATAATTTTCTTTTTTACTTTTCTTTTGAATGGATTTGAATTGACAAAAACGTAAACTCACAGATTGACCTAACGGGTGGGTACTACGATGCTGGGGACAACCTGAAGCTAGGGTTTCCATTGGCGTTTACGATAACGATGCTTGCATGGAGCACAATAGAGTTCAAGGATGAACTGGCACGGCAATCAGAGCTATCAAATGCACTGAATGCCATAAAATGGGGAACAGATTATTTGATGAAAGCACACCCAGAAGCTAACGTATTGTATGGTGAAATTGGTGACCCTGATTCAGACCATTCGTGTTGGGAAAGGCCAGAGGACATGGCAACGCCGCGCAACTCCTATCGGATCGACGATGAGCATCCAGGCTCTGATCTTGCTGCTGAAACTGCCGCTGCTTTGGCTGCTTCTTCCATAGCTTTTCGATCTGTTCACAAACCATATGCATCCCAATTGCTACGACATGCAATTCAAGTATGCTTTTTCTTTTTCTTTTCTTTTTGTTTCGAGTCCATATCATTCATACAACTGTTTCATCTTTCTTCTTTGGTCGCAGTTGTTTGACTTCGCACGCAATCATCAAGGCGTGTATTCAAATAGCATCCCACAAGCACAGAAAATATATTCCAGCAGTGGATATCAGGTAAGGAAAATGTTACTTGGGGTAGTACAGTACATCTCTTCGATCATATGCATTTTGAGACATTGAATTGTTTATAATCAGAATCGTATCTGTCACAACACGAGTATCACTTCATAATAAAAATATATAACTATTGCATTTGAAAATAAAATACATAATAGACAACAATATGATCTTTTCATATTAAAACTTAAATATATTGTTTTTCTATAAATTTGATTTTGTGTAATCAAATTATTATAATATTTTCTTGCAACTGTATAAAATAATTTCAGTCATCATTAAAAATTGACGTGATATATATTAATAAATATATTACATCTACAGCTATTAAGAAGTTATATAATTATCTATATAGCATATCATTATTTAATAATTATCATTTTTAAAATTTTAAAACTTACAAAAATAAAAATAGGATAAAATAAATAAATAAAATTAGATTTATTATAATTAAAAATATATTTAAATTTACTTAATAAGTAATAATTATTATTTACTGATGCAATTCTATTATTTAAATATTTTAAAATTAATAGTATATACAATTATTTTTGTATACATCTTAAAATTACTCTCTTAAATTAAAGAAAAAAACTCATTTTAGTGTAGTATAGACATCATTATTAGAAGTGTTTAAAATTAATTCTCAAATCAGTAAATAAAAATAAAAATTAAAAAGACTACACATTCTTTTACAATGTGATTCGATTTTTTATTTTTATCTTTAAAATAAAACCAAACTGAATAACAAATATCAATATTTTTATTTTTATTTTATTTTTACATAAATACTAATTTTAAAAATATTTATTAATTAAATACATTTATATTTAAAAATTGAATTTATATTTTATGATGAGATTTAATATTTTTAATTATTGTTTATAAATACTTTATATTTATATTTTTATTTAATAAGTGTTGTGTCTTAAATAAAAAATTAGTTACTAAAACAATTAGGTAATTCAAACCCTATTTAAAGTCTACTTAATAAAACTTGAAAACAATCATCCTTAAAAAATATTTAAAAATGAAAAAAAAGGTTTAATTTTAATAATATTCTAAGAGCGGGTGAAATTAAATGGTGAACACTGTATTGGCTAAATAAAATGTGGGCATTTATTTGTTTAAACAGGACGAATTGCTATGGGCAGCAGCTTGGCTTCATCGTGCGAGCGAGAGGGAGACATACCTTGATTACTTGCAAGAATCGAACAACCCTGGCGGTGTCAGAACAGTGTTTAGTTGGGATGACAAGTACGTGGGTGCGCATGTTCTTGCCGCAAAGCTTGTTTTGGAAGGAAGAGTGAAGGCCTCGGGGATCTGGGATCAGTACAAGGCAGAGGCTGAGAAATTCATATGCTCCTGTGCTCAGAAATCAAGCCAGAATGTTGAAAAAACCCCAGGGGGTCTGTTATGGTTTTTGCCATGGAACAATAACCAATATGTTTCTACTGCTACGTTTGTAATGTCAGTTTATTCCAAATATTTATCTTCAAAAGGCGTGTCCCTCCACTGTGATGAAACCGTTGTTACTCCTTCTGATCTCACCTCTCTTGTCCGATCTCAGGTAATCCACCAAACTTTATTTTTATTTATAAACCAGATGATTAAATGTCATTTTGTTTTATGACAAATAGGTGGACTACATATTGGGTTCTAACCCCAAAAATATGAGTTACATGGTGGGATATGGGTCAAATTATCCGCAACAAATTCATCACAGAGGAGCATCAATAGTATCAATAAAAAAAGATAGCGCACCAGTAACATGTCAAGAAGGGTTTCAGGCGTGGTTCAATAAGAACGCACCAAATCCTAATATACATGAAGGTGCAGTTGTGAGCCCAGATCAAAATGATAATTACCAAGATAGTAGGAATGATTTCCAGCTTGCCGAGCCAACAACTGTTAGTGTTGCCCCTTTAGTGGGTGTTTTTGCTCATTTAGCTTAATTTTTTATTGTTACTCTCATAAACTTAATAAAATGAATGGTCACTTCGATTGATATGTGGCAGTTTTTTTTACTGTACTTCAAGATTCCTGCTAGATTATTAGATTTATAGTTTATTTTGTTTTTCGTTTTAATAATTTGCACCATTTTTTTTCAGATCACAAGAGCTTAAAACTTCACAAGATTGATTTGAGCCTGTATAGGTTGGATATTTTAATTATTTTTTTTAAGAAAAATAATTAGTCTTTAATTTTATAAAAATAAAGTTATTTATTTAAAATTTTTTATTTTACTTTTAAATGCTATTTTATAAAATTAAATTTTGGTTCGTTGTTAGGGTAAAAATTTTATACTGTTAATCAATTAGAAGACATTGTGAATATAAGGTATTTGTGTGATTTGATTTTAGTTTCTCAGTTTTTTTAGTTTTAATTATTTTTAGAAAATAACACTTTTAATCTTAGTGAGAAGGTAACTAACTAAAATATTATGTATTTTTTTTAACCATTGTTTAAGTTTTTTTTTTTTTTTTGGAACACTTGTTATTTTATGTGTATTATTTTCTTACCTATTTTAATATTGTTCTGTAGCAACTTTTGATAGAGTCACAAAGTGTACAGTTATTATCAAGTAATATAAAATGTTTTCATATCAACAAGGATATGCTATTCTAAATATTAAATAATTAAATTTAAATACATAAATGTGATCAATTAATTAAATAAATAAAAGAAAAAATAGAAAATTTAAAATAATTAAAAACAATTAATGAAAAATAAATTAATTAAAACTTTAATAAACTTCTAGAAGATTGTTTTTATCATAAATTAGAATTGATGAACTTAATTGAAACATATAATATATTAATTTCTGATTTAACTTGAAGATAAATTAATCTGAGATAATTTTTATTTTCTTTCAAAATAAAATAAAATATTTAATTAGACAAACTTTTATGTTTGTGATAATTATATCTAATTAAACTTCTTAAGTTTCATGATGATTCATAATTTATCAAGAAATCTAGCCTACTTCGGGGTTTAGAATCTCATATTTAATCTTGAGAATTTCAATAATAAGGTTTAACCTTTAATCCTTCTCTTAATATATAAAATCATTTAAATAAGGAGTCTAACAAATTGATCACAAACATTAAGAGTACCAAGAAATAAATTAATTTAAGATTAATAAAAATATAATAAAAGAATCATTGCAAAAGATTTATTACATCATCATCAATTATTATTGAAGCTACTCCCTCACTCTAAAATTAGAAAACTACTTTCTCATATTCAGATTACAAAAAATAAAAATAAAAATCTAAACATAATAAGAAAAATAAGAACAATCAAATATTATAATAGAAAAGAGGATAAATTTTAATCTTTACTTGTAAGAGAGTGCATTGCTCCTGTAAATCTCAAATAAGTCCTTCTGAGATCAAACCACAAAAAATATATTTTTACTTTGATCTTTTTTGGGTTTCAATGATGACTCCTTAGGTGTGTAACTTTAGTCTCCTAAGATGCTCTTTGTCTAAATGTCTAAGCTGTAAAAGATTCTGAATGCAAAAGAGTCCCCAAAAATCTAAACACTTTTTTTTTTCATCTTTTATTAATTTTTAAGAAAAAATTTACTTCACCCCTATATGTTTAGTCATATGCAATATAATTATAACTTTTAAAAGTGTGTAACGTGACAGCGTAAAAAATGTTTAATCTTTTATTTTCTTGGACAAAAATACCCTTAATCCTTAATATCTCCCTTATTCCATTAGTGTTGGGGTTCCCATGATCACTAAGCTCGAATTCAGTTACCAATACTATAACAAGAAGCTAATATATGAGGTACACAACTTTGGAGTAATAATATGAAAAATGCCATAAGAATAAAGCGGAAAACTCAGTATTGAGAAGAGATGATTTTATCTTGTAATCGTTTCACTAAGGAAATTACAAGGGAAAACATATATTGGTGCTGTTAGCTTAATGCCATAAGCATTGGAAAGAAAACCAGAAACGGAAAGCATAGCGGAGTTTATTACAAGTCTGTTACAAAATTAAAGTGATGAGTTATCGATGTGGGACTCGATATATGATTTGGAGGAAGGGTGTCATACCTCCCCTCCCCCCAAGATGAAGGGCTAAAAATATTGAGCACGTCAAGCTTGGACAGAAATGATGTGAAGACTTTGGGTAGAAGAGCCTTGGTAAAAATATCTCCAAGCTAATTCTTGGAAGGCAAGGGAAGAAGATGCATAAGCCCTGATTGAAGGTTTTCATGAATTATGTGGCAATCAAGTTTCAAATACTTAGTACTGTTCATAAAATACTAGATTCTCAGCAATATGTAATGCACTCTAATTATTACAGAATAGGATGTGAGATTTGGACAAAGGAATATGAAGATCTTGCAAAAGAAAGTGCAGCCGTTGAAGCTCACAACTTGCAACAGTAAGTTCAATGCAATCAATTATGATATATTAAGAGTGATCAATAACAAGCATATAAATGTGAGTTTAATAGAATAAAAATTAATGAAAAAAGAAATCAAAATTATCATCAAACATAAAAATTACATAAAGCATATAAAAGATCCATTATAACTTTAGATATAGATTTAGTTAAGCATAATGAAATAAATAACAGAAACAACTATGATAAAACCTACAGTCATTCAAATAGAAAATGCAAACTAAAGGAATCCCAAAGAAAAAGAGATGAAAAAGTTCTTATCCCCAAGATGTACTTTAGATCACTTGCTTAAAGTCCAAAAAAACATCCTACATCTTCACTAATGATCTCTACTCCCAAATGACTTCAAGAGTTGTCAAAAGTTGGCTAAAAAAGAGTTTCCAAGTGTTGAATTGTATCTTTCTCAAGGGTGAGAGGCCTCAAAATCCACAAAATATGGTGGTTCGCCCCTTAAGAAATATGTTTTATTTCTTCAAAGATATGACATATAAAAAAAGGAAGATCTAATTTTTACTTGTAAGATTTAAGATTCAAATTCGAAATTCAAAATCCAAATTTCAAACTCTTTTAGGTACTTAAAAATTTGCAAGTTAGTTGCACTAGAAGTTGACCACAGGTTTTATATTTTAGATGAATTTAAGCTTTTTTTATGTACTTAACTAATTAAATAAGTTAGACTTGAGTTTAAAAAAAAGCCTATTGGACCTATTAGAATGACCTATTTAAAACTCATAAAATTTATAGTAATATATTAAATAATTTTATATAAAAATTATAATATAATATTATATTGAATAAAATAAATTTTAAAATGAATAAAATTTTAAATTAGAAACCCTAATCTTTTTCATTAGAGTTAAAGAATGTGATTACAATATACCCTAAATGAGAGAGAGTCCTTCTTATTGAAGTCTTTTATGTTACTGTTACTTGATCTATATCATTGGTATAACGTTGATTTGCTGTCTCGATTATATTTATTACTGGTTTGTCTCATCCATCATCTTCCTATATACTTGTTTATATTATATGTAACTTTTTTTTTTCTCTTTTTTTTTATTTTCAGATTAATAAAATGTTTTCTTCAATTAAAAATAATAAAATAATTTATTTATTTAATTAAATGTCTCAATACGAAGTAGGTCATTAAAAAGGCTAATAGGCCAAAACTGACTTTTACAAAAGCTAGACTTAGGCTTAATAAAACGTTTATGACAGATAATAATTTAGGCTTAAATTTTTAAGTAGGTCAGGCCTATATAATCAAAGTCTAGTCTAACCCAGTCTATTTCCATTCCTAGCTGTGCATATACCAAAGAAAATTAAAGAGAAGCAAAATAAAATAAAACAAAACTAAAATTAAAAATTTAAGAAACTAAATAAATAAAAGTAAAATAAAATTGTTCAAATCAATTAAATGTTAGATTTTCTCAATATTGCAAAACAATCTTATATAACAGCGCCAAATATTGTTCGTGAGCAAGTATACCTGTCAAATAGCAATAAAAATAGCTCTCAAATTGATTTATAAGAATATTGTCCCACAGATGGTGTTTTCAATTACCAAGACCATCGTGATAATTTGTTTGAACTCAAATAATGTGTAAAAGAAATAAAGATAAAGTAATCAAAAAGTAAAGAAAATAGTGAAACTTATAACAAGAAACTATTTGAGGGGATACTAGGGCTTGTGATTTCATCTTTACACCTCTTTATATTCACTTTTAGTTTAATTCAAATCTTGATTTTCCTATAATCACCAACCAGTCATACTAATACTACTAACACTAATGGTCCTATAATGATAACAATCTTTTTCCTAAACTATTACCTCTAATAGTCATGCAAGGTAAAAAAAAAGTAGAGAAAACATAAAATTTTGTTAATTTAATAAACGATTGAAAGAAAAAAATTAAGTTTAGTCCACTTAATTTTTTGTCTCGTTTCACCTAATAGTTCAATTAACTATATGCAGTACAATCACCTATCATGCAATTAATTATTAGATGTTAATAGTCATCAATTTTCAACATATAAACATAACTTTGCTAGAGAAAAACCAATCTAAAAAGAAAAACCACAATTATCATTAAACCTAAAAACCACATAAAGTGTGCAGAGAATCTACCATAGCCTTAACTATTAATTTAACTATTCATAATAAAATAAATAACGAAAATAATTGTAAAGAAATCAAAATCCATTCAAAATAGAAAAGAAAACTATAGAAATCTTAAGAGAAAAGAGATTAGAAGAGTTCATGTCTCCAAAAAGTACTATCGATCACTTGCTTAGACTTTAGAAACATATTTGATATCTTCACTAATAGTCTCTATTCCTAAATAACTCCATAAGTTATCAAAATTTGACTAGGTAAAAGTCTCTAAGTTAAAAGTGTCTTCTTCAAGTATGGGAAATCCTTTTAAATAGAGTGTAGAATCTAAGATAAAATAATGATGACCTTCAAAAGATATGTTTTATCTATAGAGAAATATATGATATGTCAATTTCAAAATTTTAGAACCAT